TATTTTTATATTTTTATTTTATATTATAATTTATATTTATTATGTCATATCATTTATTTTAAATATTTATTCTTATATATATTTTTTTTTTATTTATTTTATTAATTTTTATAGAAAATTTATTACTTATTATATATTAAGTTTTAAATTATATTTTTTAACTTATTTATTAAAAAAATATATTTTACTTTTGTTAAAAATATATCTGTCTATATTTAAATATTATTTTAATTTTATATTATATTTTCAACAGAGTTTTTATATTTTTTTATTTATATAATTGTTTGTATTTAATAATTTTTTATTTAAACATAAACTTTGTACATTAAACGTATTATCTTATTTTTTCTAAGTTAAGATAAATTAATAATAGTCTATGTTTAATTAAAACTTATTTACTTATATTTATTTTTATTTTATTAAATTCAATATTAATTCGTTATTATACACATGTTCTAAATTTTACTATTTGAGTTTTTTATATTAATTTTTATATATTCAATTCAAATTATCACTATCAAATAGATTTTTCTTTATTTTTTTTTAATTTATTATTATAAATAGTTTATTTAATTTTCAATTATTTTACTTTTTATTATTTTATTTTTTAATTAAATTTTTTATTTAAATGTTTTTGGATAATACAAATATTGTAGTATTTTTATTAATGAAGTTTATTATTCTTTTTACAATAAAAATAAAATTTATTAATAAAATATATATAAATATGCATTAAATAAATATTCATAAAGAACTATTTCAACTACAATAATTAAATTTTATAAGATCAAAAAATTAATTCTTATTTTTCATTTTATTTTATAAATATAAAATTATATTTTGTGTAATTTATATAAAAATATAATTTTTTTTAAAAAAAAAGTATATAAATATATAATTATTATTTATTTATTTTTTATATTTAATAAGTAGAATATTATATTGAATATATTTTATAATTCATATGATTTTGCTATTATAATATTAATTATTAATATTTTTTTTTTTTAATTTTTAATAATTATGTTTTACATTTCTATATTTTTTTTTATTTCAGTATAAGATTTTAACTTTCAAATTCTAAAAATGTAAACTCTTTGTATTACTTATAAATCTTTTTATAGTTATTATATTCTTTTATTTTATTTTTCAGCTATAAGCAATTTATTTATTTAATAGAACGTAATTTTATTTAATTTTTCTATTTTTATTTATATTTAAAAATGAAATAGTATAAAATAAATAGAAAAATAAAATATAAATAAATAGAAAATAAAAATTATTAAATATTAAATAATTTTTTTATCAAGAAAATTTAAAAATTTAATAAATAATAAATATCTTTATTTTTATTTATAATAACAAATTAATTATAAAAAATGTACTAAAACGAAGATAATCTATCACCTGAATCTAAAAAAAATTTAGCAAAATAAAAAAAGAAAGAAAACGAAATAAAGAAAAAATAAGCAGCAGAAGAATGGAAAAGAAAACAATAAGAAAAATAAAATCCTTAATAATAAAATAATTAATAATAAATTTCTTAATAAAACACATCATTTGAAGGACAAAAAGAAGATTAATTATAATAAACAGAAAAATAAACCAAAGTAGAATAACAAGAAAAAAAATATGAACAAAAAGCGGAACCAAATAATAATTAAAAGATTAAAGAAAGAAATCGTACAAGTAATTTTATTTCTCATTTAGTGCAATAAAAAAGCCAGACATATAAAGAAATAAGAGAAAAGTATTAAAAAGACAGACATTAAGTATTAATTTATAATAAATAAAATTGAAAAAAATTTATAAATAAATATATATATATATATATATATATATATATATATATATATATATTTAAATTTATTTTTATTAATCCATATAATATATAAATTTTATTTAGCATATCTTATTACATTAATCTTTAATTGATATCGGTTTAAAATTCAATAATAATTTAATAATGGGTTCAAATAAAAGATGTATATATTTAATGGAAGCTTTAAAAAAATTAATTTGCGATTTTCGAACAAATGAGCCAGATTTTTCATTTGTAAAAGAATTGAGTATATCTATTGATAAAATAATCAATTTCATTTAAAACTTTAGGGCTATATCTGAAGGGATGAATACTGCTTTTTAATATATTAAATAGTTAATTGGATATTTATATAATAGTCAAGTATCTATAGAAACCTAATAATAGTGGCTTTGTTAATAAATAAATTATTTTATTAAATAAAAAATATATAATGCTTAAGAATTAATTATTTAAATAGTATTTTTATTTATTTTAAATTTTTTTAATTATATAATATATATTAGGGTCTATAATTTATTAATAATGGCGATTATATTTTAATATATGCACATTCTTAAGTTGTTGAAAGTCTTTTAATTTAAGCTCATAAAAAAGGAAAATAATTCACTGTTATTGTTGTAGATAATCCTCCTTTTAATGAAGGGAAATAACTTTTTAATAATCTAACTAAGTAAGGAATTTAATGTATATATACTTTACTTTCTAATGTACCTTATTTTATAAAAAAAACCTCTAAAATTTTCGTTGGAGCTTCTTCTATGTTGAAAAATGGTTCTTTAGTTTCTCGTGTAGGAACTGCACTAGTAATTTTTTTATCAAAATATAAATATATATGTTTAATTTTTAAGCTATCTTGTGTTTCTAAAGAACATAGAATTCCTTTCCATGTTTTTTGTGAAAGTTATAAATTTTCAGAAAAAAGTTAACTTGATTCTTTATCATAAAATGAATTAAATGTATAAAGATAAACAACAAATATAAATATTATTGAAATCAATCTAAGATATGATTTAACTCCATGTTAAAACATTAATATGGTATAAAAAAAAATAATAAAAAATTTTTTATAAAAATCATAAAATATATTTATATAAAAATAATATATAAATTTATAAATTTATATGTATATATTTATTAATTTTTAATTATATATAAACATAAATAATTATATATATATCCTTATTTATAATTATTAATTTAACTATAATTTAATATTTAAACAATAAAATAATTAAATAATTAGGTTGTCACTGAAATTGGACCAGTTCCACCTACTTCTGTTCACACTATTATTAGAGAATTTACAAGTAATGATTATGTTGGGAAAATCGAATTACCTAAAGAATGATTTTTTTATTTTTTGTTTGTTTCTTTGTTTTAATTTAAAAAAATAATAATTTATATAGAGATATTTTAATTTTTTTTTTTTATTTCATAAATATTATTTATTAAAAATAATATTTTATTTTATTTATTTTTTTATTAAATTAATTAAAATAATAAAAGATATATTAAAATATATATAATAAATATACTTATTATCATAAAAAAAATGTTGAAATAAATATTAGTTAAAAATAGTATTTTTATGAGTAAAGGATTTTAAAACAGTATATATTTATAATTTCCTTAAAGACAATTAATAAAAATGAATTTATATTAATCTCCTTAATTTTCTTTTGCAACCATAAAAGAGAAAATGGAAAAAAAGCAAAGAGAAAAATAAGAATAAGAATTCAAAAAAGAAATGGAATTTATGGCTAATAAACCCGAGTTTACTATGTAAGATTACAAATAGAGAATATTAGATTAATTAGTGAAGTTAAAAAAAGGTTTGAAAGCGAAATTTATGTCAGGAACTGAAGAAACAGAAGCTGGTTTATTAAAATAAAAAACTATTTTGAACGCATTTTATGATGATGAGCTTTTAGATTTTAAAAAAATTAAATTTTATGAAAAAAGAGAAATTGCCGCCGTGACTTAATGCACAATTGAAGAAGTGAATAAATTATTAAATTGCTATTAATTTATGTCACAAACTCATAGATTTTTAAAAAATTTAAAAGAAAAAGGAATCACTTTGCCAGAAAATTAAGATGAATTTAACCATAGATTTAGATAGGAAAGATATATTCCGTACGAAATGAAACAAAAGCATAAAATTAAATAAAGACCTAAATCAAGAAGAATATATAAAAAATATCTTAAATGGGGAACTAAAAAATAGTTATGAAAAAAAAAAAAAATTTTTTTTTTTTTTTTATTTAAATTTTATGTTGTTTTTTTTGTTTTTTTTTTAGTTTTTAGTTATTAATTTAAAATATATTATATAATTATATTTATTTATATTTCTATTTATTAATATATTTGTATATATATTTATTATTATATATAAATATAAATATATATATAATATAAATATTAGTATAAATTATTTATTTTAAATATGAAAAAATTAATAGAAAAGGGTAAATAATATATAAAGAAAATAGAAGAAGAGCAAACTAAAAAGAAAAGAAATGACGATTAAAAAGAAGAAGAAGTCAAAACAGTCGAAAAAATTATTTCAAACTAATTTAAAGGCAGCAAACTATTAAATTTAAGTAGATTAATACTTTCTCCAAGTCCAATAGATGACGAAACTTTCTTAAAGCTGAATAACTCATTATATTATTCTCAAATTCCTGAAAACTACATATCGATAACATCTAAACTACGTTAAATAGATATGGAAATCGATTTTTCAAACGATAAAATACAAAATATATTAAATGAATAAATAATTCCTTAATAATAGTAAAAAAATGAATAAAATATATTATTATAAAATCCTCTTTTTCTAATCGGAGTAGTAGGTTTTCATCATAAAAAAGGATCAATAATAGAATTTTATTATCCTTCAAATATTCATGGATTAGATGAAAAAAAGCAATAATATATAAAAGACTGGTTACCTATTTATTGTATGCCGGATGCAATTCATAATAAAAATGAAGATTTTATTTATTTTACAATAATTATAGATGATGTAATGCTATACTGCGTTTCTTATTTTAAATAAATATAAGTAAAAAAGTAAAAAATAATATATATTTATATATATATAATACAAAAATAAATATACATACATATATATATATATATATATATATATATTATTTATATATATTTTATTTTTATTTTATTATTTTAGGTAAGTGATTAAATGAGATAAAACAATAAAGAATTAACCAGAAGTCATTTATAAAAAAGTCTTTTTGTACTTTCAACTTTGCCTTTATAAGGATATATAATGAGTCGTTTAGAACCTACTACAAGGGCTTATTTTAACCAAATAAATATTAATGATTATGAGATTTTAGAAAGTGCTTATTAGAATATGAACTAGAGTTTAAAAAATACACATAATTTAAAAGATAGTGAAATATATATAGGGACTCCTGTAAAAACTTTAGTTTATTTTTTCAAAGAGAAAGTTTTGTAGATTGTAAAGGCTATTTTATTGGAAAAAAGAATTATAGTGTATTCTTTAAATAGTTGTGCTTGTAGTAATTTTATTATTTCGATTATAAGCTTGTTTCCGGGGCTTTCTCATTTTAATTTTTCTAATAGTTTTTATATTAGTATTGTAAAAAAAGCGTTAAATGAATATGGGTTTCCTTTGAGGATTTTCAATGAAATAGATAAGCCTATTGAAATGTATTTTACAGTGTAAAATTTAGATTAAATCGAAAAATATAAAAGCTATTTGATAGGAACTACTAGTTAATTAATAAAAACTCATAAAAAAACTCAGGCTGATTTAATTATTGATTTGGATTAAAATTCAATTATTTATTAAAATGAAAATATAAAAAATTTACTTTAGTTAAACAGTGAAGAGAAAAAATTCATGGAAAATATATATAAAATAAGTAAATAATATATTTCGGAAGAATAAAAGGACTGGAAAAATATGGAATATTCAGCAACTTTTACATAGTTTGTGGGAAGTAATGACTGGATAAGGATTTAATTTTATGAATATTTTATTAATCTTGTATGTGAATTATAGATGATTAAGGGTAGGTTTGAATAGAAGAAAAATGAAAATTTGTCGAAGGATTTAGAAGATTTTGAAGATTATTTAGAGTCAGATGATGAAAGTTAATAATAAAGTTAAAATTATTAATAAATGAAAGGAGTAGAAGATGATAAAATTAAGTATTTAAAATAATAAAAAAAACTTATTAAAAATAGCTATAATTTTCTTAAAAAATATAATACTAAGTTTATTTTTGAATACTTATAAACTTAAAATTATAAGTTCTGGAAATAAAATCATGATGAATCTATTGCTTTGAGAAGTATTAATTCTATTGAAAATAATACTAAAGCAATTATTTTTTTTTAAAACGGGGAAGTTTATGCAGGAGGAATGTAAAATGGTTTAAAAAATGGAAAGGGTAAATAAATAATATATAAGGATATATATATATAATTATATATATATATATATATATATATATATTTTATTTTTAAATAATAGGTTGTAAATTTGATTAAATAGATTAAAAAATTGAAATATGTGAAAATTATTTAAATAATTTAAAATAAGGTCATACTGTTATAAAAAGTATTCGAAATTCTGAATTTTATTTTGAAGGTTAATACATTAATGATATGAGGGAAGGTTTTGGGAATTTGATTTTTGAAAATTAAAAATATACAGGAAATTTTAAAAATGATAAATTACATGGATAAGGATAATTAGTAAATGAAAATGACGCTAGTATATATGAAGGAGAATTCTAAAACAATAAAAAAAAAGGTATGGGAAAGTTTAAAAATAACGAAATTTGTTATATTGGATAATTTGAAAATGATTTATTTGAAGGTAAAGGATAAATAATATTTTCCAATAATGGTGACGTATATTCAGGAGATTTCAAAAAGGGAAAAATGCATGGATAAGGGGAACTTTAAGGTGTTTCTTTTGTATACAAAGGAGAGTTTTAAGATGGAAAATTTAATGGATAAGGTCAGTATGAAATACTGGAAAGTAAAAATGTATATCAAGGATTTTTTAAGAACGGGGTCTTGGATGAAAGCAAGTAATAAATTATTAAATATAAGGACGGAAGTATATATAATGGGATGATTAAAAATTGGGAAAAAAATGGAGAAGGAGTTCTTTGTCATGTAGATGGGAAAATAGAAAATGGAGTATTTGAAAATGGTGTTTTAATTAAAAATTGATTTTTTTTATTTTATTTTTTATTTGTTTAATTTTGAAAATATTATATCGTTTTTATTTTGATTAGATTTTTTTTAGTATTTTTTATATAATCTTTTTTTTTTTTTATTAAAAATAGCATTATTCATTTAATTAATACTTAACATATTTTTAATAAAAATAAATTACTTTACTTTTATTTTGTAAATAAAATTTTATAATAATTAATACAAACAAATGTCAAAGTTATTAAATGAAACAGCGATTTCATAATAAAGAGATGGTTAATCTTTATTATAGCCTCATTCTTAATTTGATAATTCCAAAGTTTTACATGTTCTCTAAAAGTTCAATTTTTTTGGAATAATTGCAAATAAAAGATATAGTAAACAATAAATATATGCTGCATTAGATAAAATAGTAAAAATAATAAAAATAATAAATAAATAAAAAAATAAATAATAGGTATGTCATTAGTTTGATAGAATAATAGGTTAATAATTATTTGAATAATGTTAAAAAGATTACGATTAAACAATATAAATAGAAGATTTTATCAGAGTATGTATAGATGGAATATTAATATTAAAAAATAAAATTTATTAATAAAATATTAGTATAAACGAATTTTAGAAATAAATATATTCAGCATAAACATTTCTTTATTAGTTTTAATAAAATCAATAGCTAAATTAATTTGATATAGAAATAGATTCAAAGTTATAATTAGAAATTATTGAAGGAAAAAATTTATATTAAGAATGGAATGATTAAGAAGCTCCTTATACTATTATAAAATGTGGATAATATAAATTTACATCAGGTGTTTCAAATTAAAATTAATAATGGAATTAATAATTTTAAATGTAAAAAAATTAAAAAATTTAAAAAAAAAATATATATATATATATAATATATATATATATATATATATATATATTTATATTTATATTTATATTTTATTTATATTTATATATATTAAATTAGACCTATTTTTATGGGTTCTGAAGAAATATTAATTGAAGTAGTTAGTTTCGATATATAAAAAAATGTTAATTATTTTATTGGCTAATTATCTATTCCTGTGAAAGATTTAAATCATTAAAATAAAGTAGAAGATTTTTTTTAATTATATGATAAAAATTTTGCTGAAATATAAGGAAAAATTAAACTTTCCTTACATTGGGTTTTTAATAAAGTTACTTATTATCAAAAGATTATAGATGATTTAAATTCTTTGATTGAATAATCTCAATTGGATATTGATGATTTTTAAAACTATATTAAAATGATTGATTAAATTTTCACAGTTAACCCTGATTTACATAATGCTATGTAACTTTAAGTTGAAACATAATGTTAAGGAGATAACCATAATATTTAAATTGATAATAGATAAACAATCTAAAATATGGTGCAAGAAGCAAAAATACCTTCTTGTATAAAATATTTGTATATTTTAGCTTTTTAATTAATGTTTTTTTGTTTGTTTTAATGTTTACATAAAGTTGCTTTTTATGATGTAATTTTCATTTTTTTTTTTTAATAAAAATAAAAAATAAAAAAGATTTTATTAGGAATATTTATTGTTTTAGGTTATATATTAAATTTTTTTGAAAAAGAAAAATTTTAATTAATCTTTGCTTTGACTGTTTTTTCGATTTTAGGAGACTTCACCTGGATAATATTTTATATAGAAGTAATTTTTATATTATTTTATATTTATATATATATAATGAAAAAAAAGGATTTATGGTATCCTAATAAATAAAAAGATATACATCCTTAATAAATGGCTTGGCTTTTAAGATTTACATTAATTTTTTGTTTTTTTTGTCTTATTATAAAAGTATTTATTAATTTATTATATTTTTATATTATTTTTTTTAAGATTGTATTATGCTTTATTTTATATTAAGTAATTGAAATTTCAGGAAATATTAATAATGTATATAATTTTAGCTTTGGAAATTTTCAATATGTTTTAGGAGGAAAAAATATAAATCCTTTTATAAAAAAATTAAATTAAATAGGAGAAAATCCAAATTGAAATTATCTAACAGAATAATTAATATAAACAACATACAATTAAAACTAAATAATTTTAAATGGGTAAATTTTAAAAACAAAAATTACTTAATAAACTTAAAATAATGTTTCTATAAATAATTAAATATAACTAGTTTGAAATATATGAATATATATATATATATATATATATATATATATATATATATATATATAAATAAATATAAAATATATATTAAATAAAATTTATAATTTTTTATTTTTTTATAAATAAAAAAAAAGATATATTAATAAAAAAAAAAAAAAATGATAAAAAATTCATTTTTAAATTTATTTAATATAAATTTAGTTTATTCTATAAAATAATTCCATAATACATTAAAAATCTAATCATTTAATGAAAAATAATATATTAATAAATTTTTGTACCTTATTTCTTAATAATTTACTAAAAATAAGGAAATAGAAATAAATTCTATGCTCTAAATAATAAATTAAAATATCAAAAACATCGAAAAACCTTAATCTTTATTAGCAATATTAGATAAATGTACAAGATATAATATTTATTTAGAATATAATTAAACAAAATAAATTCTTGATTAAAGTCTTTTATTGTTTTAAAAAAACGAAAATTTACTAAAAGAGGACAATGGAGATATTATGAGAGGTTTAATATTAGTTAGTGGATTAAAAAAAGTTAGGCATGATTTGTTCTATGAAAAAAGCATTGATTTAATAGAAAAAAATATAAATAATTTTTCAATTTTTAATGTTTTGACAATATGCGAGACTTTATTTTACAATAAAATAATATAAAATTTATCAAATAAAGATAAAATTAATATTTTATTAAATAAAATTTAAGATATTTCAATTGAAAATATTGAAATTCTTTCTTAAATTGGAAATTTGGTGTACTATATATAAAAGAATAAAGATTTATTAAAATTTTCAAATGAAGAAAAAACTAATGAAAATTAAATTTTATTAATGAAAAAAAGTCAATAAATAATGATTTAAGGACTTACTGGAATTAATTAAGAAAATATGGATATTTTAATGTTTTGTGAAATAAATAATAATCTATTATAATATTGTAATATATAAAAAAATAGGGAAATTATTCTTATTTAAAGTAAAATTAATAATATTTTAAATTAACTACTTTTAAATTTTTCATAATCAAGAAAATTTAATGATATTGATAAAACTATAAGGTATTTGAAAAAATATTTGTAGGCTCCTCCTATTTATTTAAATAACTATATTATTTAGATTATTTTTTAAACTTTTGAGACATTTAAACCTTAGAAAATCTAAGAAATTGTTCCTTTTTTATATTTTTTATCAAAAACAAAATAAAACTTTAAAATTAATTATGAAATGTATAAAAAAAAATATAAACAAATTAATTTTTTGTTTTTTATTTATATTTAAAATTTTAGAAATTAATTGATATAAAAAAATATTCCAGAAGAAAAAAATTTGTTACTTTTGTCTAAATTACTGGAAATTTTCTCTACAATTACGTTTAATAATGATGAATAGACGATTATAGAATTGGAAAATTAAATTATTAAATTAAGTGATTTTAATGCTAATCCTACAATCGCTTTATTAATAACATTTTAATCATTAACTAATTTATAAAAGGGATAAATTAAAACAATTAAATATATAATTAATTATTTTCTATATAATTCCAATTTTTAAAAAATAGAGTTCTTTGATTTATTAGTTAAGTTTATACCTTCTTTATCAATTTAAACTAAATATTTATATAAATTTACTACAAATATTAATATTTAATAAGCTACATTTACTGTTTAATAAAAAAACTAATTAGATAAAGAACTTTAATAAAGTAAAATAAAATAAAATAAATATAAAATAAAATAAAATATATATATATATATATATTAATATTACATTATATTATAATAACTAATAAATATAGATTTAGAAATTTTATGGGGAAAAATCGAGACTTACTTAATAAATTAAATCGAAAAAATATATTATGATAAATACCCTTAATTATTATTTCATTTTATATTCCCAAATTTAATAAACAATAACTACAGAAAACTTTATAAAATTCTTTAACAAAAAGTAGTTGATTACTTATAAAAATATACACCTAAATAAATAAACGATTTAATTTACTCATATTCTCGTTTAAATGAATAAAACTTGAATTTATTTTAATAAATAGTTCCTTTTGTAATAAATAAAACAGATTAATTTAATGAAAGAGAGCTTATTAACATATATTGGAGTTATGCAAATTCTCGAATTTTAAATGAAAATTTAGTTTAAGTTATTGAAAGTTACATTTCCTTAAACATAAAAAATGTCCAATTAGATTCTTTGATTTAATTTATGTATTCTTTAGGTATTTTAAGAAGATAAGTAAATTAAGAAAGTCAACTTTTTTAGAGTATTTTTAATTACTTGAATGAAATAAAAGATGAATTAATTAATTATTAATAGGCATTTGTTATTATCTATTCTTTACTATTGCTTGATAATACAGTTTAATTTAAATAGATTATAATAAAATTGGTTAATATTATTTTAAATGAGAGATAGAAATATATAAAAAATCCAATATATTTGAATTATTTGTATTAGTTTTTTATTATTTTGTAATATTGTTAAAATAAAATAGTCTTTGTTGAAAATATGGAACAAATTAGAAATATTATTATAAGTTAGAAAGATATATTAGTGAAATTTTTTAAAGTTAATAAGAAATATTTTAAATCAGAAATTGAAAAGTAAATTTCATAAATTATTCATAAAAAGGTTAAAGATCCGAATCCTGAAAATAATATATTAGTTATATAAAAAGTAAGTAATTTAAAAATAATTATTTTATTATTTTTTAATATATAAAGAATAATTAAATACCTCTAGTTTTTTATGATGATTTGAAATTATTAGAAGATAATAAATTATTTCCTTAAGAACAGTTAGTTGTACCTTTCACTATTGATTGCAGAAAAGGAAGCTTATGTTTTGAAATTAATGGATAATTTCATTATGTTGTTTAAGAAAATAATGTTTTTTATTTAGATGGGATTACTTACTTAAAGAAATAATTTTTAGAGAATATTGGGTTTAAATATATTGAAATTAAAAACTTTAGTTTATCCCATGAAGAAATAAAAGATAAATAATTAATGGAAAGAAAAGTAATAAGTATTATTAAAGAATAAATGTGATTTAAAAAAAAAAATACATATGGAAATTTTTATTATTTTTTTTTTTATTTTTTTATTTTTTTTTTTCTAAATTAAAAATCCTATTAAATGACCTTTTTTTTATTTTAAATAAAAAAAAATAATAATAAATATAATTATTTTATTAAAATATTTTAATATAAAAATTATAGAAAATAAAAAAATTAAAAAAAAAAAAAAATTAAAAATAAAAAAAATATAATGATAATAAATAATTAACTATTTATGTTAATAAGAAAAGAATAATAAATAAAATCATTAAAATTAATCAAAATTATTATAATTTGGGTTCTATGCTTACTTATTATTCTTAATTTCCTATAAATTTTAAGGTTCCATTAAATAATTATTATAAAGACCTTATTATTAATTTAGTTGATATAATTAACTATTATTGATTCCAAATTATTATCCAGTAATAGATTATTATTATTAATAATTTTATTGATACTAAGGTCCTTAAGCTTCCCTAGTTTATTATTAATAAAAAGAACTAATATTTAAAGGTTAAATATTTAATTATTATTAAAATGATTGCTATTAGTTTTATTATGGGGGAGTATGTTAAATTCCATGCTGTAATTATGAATAAGAATTGGGCTATTATTATTAAAGTTGGACCTATTAAGAATTACTCTATTATTTTTATGAGGGTTATGAATTTTTTTGACTTAAAGATGAATCACTTTAAATATTAGACAAATTTTGTTAATTTAATTATTATTAAGAGGTTTACTAATTTTAACTATGAACTGAATTTTAATTTAAATTTTAATTTTAATTTGGAATGCTTTATAAAGATTATTATTATAAAGATAAATGATTTAAGTTAATATTTTATTATGATAATTAAGATGATTTTTATAAAAATTGATTCATAATAGCTGGTTATTATTATTATTATTACTATTATTATTATTATTATTATTATTATTATTATTATTATTATTTCTATTTATGTTATTCCTAATACATTTTTGTAAATTATTTATTAAAATCATTTCTTCTATATGATAAAGACACTGTTTCTGCTATATGATTACTTTAAATAACCTCTAGCTGATTTCTTTCATACCAAAGTAGCTTTTCGTATTCTTCTAAATAACTTAATTTATTTTCGAGTTTACTTAATTATAGACTGATTAGATTTTGAACTAGTTTTTGTATCTTTTCATCTTCTCTATTTTGCAAATATTTAGCTCTATCAATTGTGTTTTTTTCTAATTGTAGCAATATCTAACCATCTATATCATTTACTTCTTCGATTTTATTAATTATTTTAGTTTAACTTTTAATATTTTTATTATTATTATTTTATTCGATTTCCATTTCATTTATCTTGTTTTCTTCTTATTATTTTACTTCTTGAATATTTTTCGCTTCTTGTTGAACTTTTTACTCTTTTTTAACAATGTTTTCATATTCTTGTTGTTTTTTGTATTTGTCTAATAAACTTTTAAATAAAGCAACCTTATTTTTATATTTATATATAAAATTAAAAATAAATATATTTATATATAAAATTAAAAATAAATATATTTATATATATATATATTTGTATTATTTATATTATTTATATATATACGTGTTATATTATAGGATTTGAATAATCAGAAAAAATATTCGGATCTTCTTCACATATTGTTTCGTATGGATATTTTCCTATTTTCTATTAATTGCTATCATTTTAGAATAAGTTCACTTTAGTTATATTTTATATTGGCAATTTTAAAAAATGCAAAATGATTTCCTCCCTTGATCTATTAGATATACTTTACATTATAGTATCCCAATTATCTTAATGTTAGTCTATAAGTTCTAGTAATTTATATGTTTCTTCATTTGTCCAGGGTTTACTTGTTTATTTAAGCTCAGAATTTTACATTTATTATTATTATTATAATTTATTTATTATGTCATGTTTATCGAAATCTTTATCACTTAAAATATTAGGGTAGTTATTATCTGTATAACATTTTACACATAAAATCATTCCAGGATAGTTTTCTTAAATTTATTTTTATTAAAACCATACAAAACCACAAATTATACCACAAAAATCACATATAGGTCTATAAAAAAATAATAATATATATAAAAATTAATATATATATATAAAAATAAATTTATATATATATTTATATATAAAGAAAAAAATACCTGTAGTTTTTAGATAAAATTTTAACTGAATTAATAATTAAATCATATTCATTATTTTCTTAATTTATACTTCCATTTAATTCCAAATGTTCTAGTCTTTCTATTTATATGTATGTATTTATAAAAGTAAATATATATAAATACTTTATTGTTCAGCAAATTTATATAAAGATTAATTGCCTAAAGAAGGTTTTTAAAGCAAAATTGATTAACTATTTTATTTTGGATCACAACTGAAATTAATTATACCCCAATGTTCCAAAAAAGCATGAATTCTTAATATAGAACAAACATCTCCTGCTAAATTTTTTCTACAGGCTGTTGCTGTTATATAATTTCGGGGATTTTCTCTGTATAACATAATAATAAAATTTCTGTATTTTTTATATATTTCAGGCGTTTTTGATGGTTTTCCTTAAAAAAATTCAGGTAAAGCCTCTTTTTCTATTTAATGTATTTTATCTAAATCTAACCTATTTTTATATTAATATTTAAAATAAAATAAAAAATTCTTTTTACCATCTAGAACATGAAGGTATAATAATTTAATATTTTTTTATTTCTGTTTAGTTAGTATTATTAAGATCTTATAAATCAAGTTTTTGGCCTTCTTTTTTATATATGAAAATATCCTTTTCTTCTAATTTTGCTTATGATTATTAACTTTAGCTATTATTTAAATAAAATTAAATTAAAAAAAACAAAAAAATAGAATAAATTAAATATATATATAAATATATATATATATATACATATATTTATATTTTTTTATTCAAACATTTATAAAGATATTAACATATTAATATTTTTGTTTTATATAATATGTTATTTTTATATAAAATAATTTACTATTAATTTGCATTTGGAATTTATGTGTTTATGTTATTATATTAAGGTTAATTTTAGTTTAAAATTGATTATTTTTATAATTATTATTATTATTATGTTTATATTTAGGGTAATTATAATTGTTATGATTATTATTATATTTAAGATATATTTATTTATTATATTTATTACTATTATTATTATTATTATGAGTTTTATTAAAGTTTTATTTACTCTTCTTTTGGCGAGTTTTATTGTTTAGTTTCACTTTCTTCACTTTAAGCTTTTTATATATTTTTTGTGTTTAATTTTTTATTTTATTATTCTTTGACTTCTTTCACTTTTTAATCTATATTAATTTATTAGTTTTTTTTTTTTTTTTTTTTTTTAATTTTTTACTTTATGGAGTTTGTTCTATTGATGTTACTTAATATCCTCCGCTTATTTTTTGTAGATTTATAATAACTTATTCTGATTTTTAATGTTTCATTTAACTTATATTAATAAAGATTTTTAATATTTTTTTTATTTATTTATTATTTTTTTTAAAATATAATTTTATTATTTTTTTTAAAAAAAAAAATTAAATATAAATATAAAAAAAAGATTTGTCTTTTATTTTTTGTTTATTTTTTGTTTATTTTCTTTATTCCTTATATAATAAGATAGACATATATAATAATTATTTTTATTTATCTTTTTTTTATATATTATGCTAAAATTATTTTATTATTATCTGACTTTTTTATTTTAAATTTTATATTGTTTTAATAATTTATCAATTTAAACTTTATTAATTTATTAACAACTATAATTTTTTTAGTTTTAATTAATTTTTGTTTTAATTAAATTGATTTTTTTTTCATTATTTTTTAATATATACAATTAATTTCTATTATATTTTTTTTTTTTTAATTAACCCATTTTTATAATAATTAAATAATCTTAAAAAAAAAAAAAAAAAAAATTTAAATTATATATTTTTTTTTTTTTTAAAAAAAAAAGAAAATTTTTATATACTAAGAATTAATCTATATAAAATATCTATATAAAATTTTTAAATACTTAAATTAGTTATAATATAAAAATATTTAATAAAAAATTCTAATTATTTTTTATTAAAATATTTGACAAATAAATACAAAAATTTTCAAAATTTTAAAAAATTGTGCCAAATATAATAAAATATATAACAAAAAAAAAAATTATATATTATTATTTTTGATAATAATAATATTACTGATTTTTAAATAAAATATATATAGTATTTATTATTTAGAAAAAAAAAAAAAAGTTTAAATATATATTTATTTATATAATATTTAAATTTTCTTAATTTATATTGAGATTCTTTTTGTTGTTTTATAAAATATTAATAATAAATTTTTGTAAGAATTAAATTAATAATTGAATTAATTAAATAATAATATTAATATAGATTTATTTGTTTTTAATTATCCTCATTAATTTATTAAGTATTTAAAATACATATTATTATTTAGACTCTACAAAATTTATTATAAACTTTTAAAAAATTAATATCTATTTTTATCATTTTTTAATTGTTTTTTTCTCACTTTTAGTTTAAATTTTATATTTTTTACAAAAATGAGTGTGTTTATGTTTTAAATCCATTATTTTTTTACTCATAATATGTTTTTATTTAATTAATTTCATTTTGTGAAGTGTTTTTTATCTTTTTTTAAAGTTAGAAAATTATCTCATTTTTCTTTTCTAATTAATCTTTTAAAAATCTTACTTATACTGTATAATCTAAGATTAAATATTTTAATAAATTTTTATTATCTTGTAAAATATTTATTGACTATTAAAACTTTTAAATATTATTTTGTCTATAAATTAAAGAAAAAGAAAAAAATTATTATATATTACTTTTAAAATATTGTATTTATTTTTTTAATTTTTTTATATAAAGATTATTTTCTATTAATTCTTTTTTACATTATACATATTATAATTTAGTTTAATGAATTTCTTCTTAATAATTTGCCTTTATTTGTTAAAAATAATTACAATTATAATTATATTATATTATACTATAACTATAATTATATTTATCTTACTAATAACTAATTACAATAATTTATAATTTCTTGTTATTTTTATTTATATATATAAAGTGAATTTTTTAATTTTTTATTTTATTTTTTTTACTAAAAACAATTTTTTATTTGATTTTTATTTTATTTTAATACTTAAGATTTTAAATCAATATTTTCTTATTAAATATATTTAATATACATTCCATTTTTCTATTTATTTTATCCCAAAATTTATAATTTTTCTATATTTATATTATCTAAATTATAATTATATTCGCTATTTGTTTAAACAAATCTTTTAAATTTTTACTAATAAATATATAAGATAATAAATAATACAACAACAAAAATAAAAAAAATTAAACTTATTAAGTAAATTATGTTTTTAATTATTTTTCATCATCAAATTACATATTAAAATCTTCATCATTTAATTCGGTTCTTATAGAATTAAGATTTAGTTTGTTATTTTATAAATTGTTTTATATTTAATTTTATAAATTAAAAACTTATTACTAAGACTATTCAATTTTTTCCTCTAATTATAAAATTTTATGAAATTATTTTTAAATAAGATTTTCTTATTGATCAATTTTTTCTTATAATTCAATATTTTCTTTCTTGATAAAAAACAGTTAATTTTAATGATTTATATTTTTCCTTTTTAAAGCTTAAAAATCAAGTTTTCATTTTCTTAATTTCCTTTTTCTTGAGCTTATTTTAAGATGTTTTTATTTTTCTTTATATTTCCCTTTTTTAATTTCAAATTATTTATTTTTTTCTTACGAAAAATTATTCTTATTAAATTTTTTATATTTCTAATTATATTTGTAATTTTTATAATTCCTGTTTATAATTTTAGATTTAAATTATATATTCAGTTTCTTTTATTTATTATTCAGTTATTTTTTCCTCCAAAAGACTAATTGATTTTATCTTTTTTTAATCTTTTTCTAAATTTTATTACATTATTTAATTCTATACATTTTGCTCTTGGAAGTCTTATAGTTTTTACTCATATATACTTTATTATAATTAATATTAATCCATTTTTTATTCATATTAATTTATTTTTTATTCATATTAGTTTCTTAATTATATAAAATGTTACGCTTCTTCTATTTCTTCATTTAATTGCATTATATCTTGTTTTTATTTCGGTTATAGTATTTATTGCGATTTCTTTTATTTATTCTATTTTCTATTCTAAATCTTAATTTTTCTATTCAAATGATTTATTTTAATTTTATAATAGAATACACATTTCGAATATTTTATCCTTTATTTATTCTATGAAAAAGAAGGCATTTTTTTTTATTATTATAATATCTAATTGATTAACTTTATCTTTTAAGTATTTATTTTTTTATTATATTTATGTCATTTAATTTTCGTTAAAATGTCGAGAAATTTAATGTTCGGAATTACTTTATGAAATCGTATTAATTTAATTCTTTTTTTTATAAAAAAAATAAAAATTTAAAGAAATTATTAATATCATATATTAATTTATAATTATATTTAAATAATTCTAATTATTTGAACAACAACAATATTATTTTTTATTAATATAAAAAGACATGAAAAGTTGATTTAAAAATAGTATAGAATTTAAACAAAAATATATATAGTTTATTTAGTGAAGTATATATATAAAATATTATTTAAATATAATTTTATCTAATAAGAGATATTTTATTATTTAAGAAATAATAAATATCAATAATATAATAATTTAAATATTATTTTAAATTTATATATTTAATTATTAATTTTTTTAATTAACATTTCTTTTTTATTTTTGTTCTTTTATTAACATATATAAATAATATTTATTTATATTGTAATAATAATAAAATAAAATTATTTTATATATAATATGTATAAATTTATTAAAATATAATTACATTAATTCGTTATTATTAAAAAAAAATGTAATAATCTAAATAAAATAATAAGAAACGTTTAATAAAATCGAAATCAATCTAAGATTAACGGCAGTAAACCAGTTTAAATTAAACATTAATGAATCCAAAAAAAATAATAATCTAATATTTATTTTCGGAAACAAGTGAATAGAATAAATAGTCTAATATAAAAAAAAAATGTTAAAAATAAAAGTTTTTACCTTTTATTTAAGAACGTGATAATATAGGTTATTTATTGACAAATAAAAATAAAAAATTTCATAATAATTCATAAATAAAAAGTGAATATAATATAAAAAAATCTATTTTAAATTAATATCTATTAAGCAATTTAATAAAAGATCATTACAATTAAGAATAAACAGAAAACGTAAATGATTGTTTAGATAAGTATTTAAAAAGAAGATCTTAAACTAATATATTTTCAAGAAACATATACAAAAAGAAAGAAACTTTAGCGGAAAGGGAAAATTATATTAATCATAAATTTTTTATTTATAATATTGATAAAATAAATGATTGTAGGATTAATTTTAATAAATAATAAAATACTTAAAAAAATAAATCATCGATTATTTTTGAAAATAAATAAGAGTTACTTTAAACTTTATAATGTAATAAGATAATAGGATAAACTAAAAAAAAAAATAATAAATATGTTTTTTACAAAGTAGAAAATAATTCAGTTGATGATATTCCCAAAAAAAACATTAAAGTAAATTCCATATTAAATTATTAACATTTAGTAAATATGAATAAATAAGACAATAAAAACTCGGGAAATTCAATAAATGATAGATTGAATTTTCCAAAAGAAAAATAATTAAATAATTTATAATAAGAAAATAGTAAAAATTTAAGCAACTATAGAGTTTCAAAACCATCGAAAAAAGATATTAATAAATATTTATAAGAAGAATATAATACATATAAATTAGTAAGTGGAGAATATGATAAAGTTGGATTGGATTTTAAATAATAATATGTCAATATTTTTAATAGAGAAATTCTTAGTTTAAAAAATAGGGCAAGAAAATTAAAAAATAACATTTAAAAACTTGTAAGTTGAAACTTGATTAATTATTATTTTATAGTATAAATTGAATATATATATATTTTTATATATTTATATATTTATTTTTTTATATATATTTATATATATAATTAAATATTTTTTATAAATTTGTATATATTTTTATATATTTATATAAAGTTATGTTTATATCTATAAATATATATTTGTATATATTAAAAAAAATTAAATATTTTTCTTTTATTATTAAAATAAAACAATATTATTTTTAATACTTATATATTCATAATAACTATATATTTATTTTAACATTATTTTATATTATTAATTTATCTTTTATAATTTTTATATTTGTTTTTATTACTTTCAATAAATATTTAATATCATAATTATCTGTATTTTTAATATATTTTTTCATGTTTATAATTTATATCTACAATTATTTTTTTAACATTTTTTATTGTATTTTTAATTATTTTTTAAAAAAATATATAATTAATAATTTTTATGTTTTTTTTTAGTATAAAATATATTATAAAAAATTACTAATTCTAATCATCTTATAATTTATAAAATTATCTTTATTAATTTCATAATTTTCAATTAATATTTATTTAATCTATTTTTAGTTAAGTTTTGATTATAATTTTAACATGCATTTTAAATAAATTATTTATGAGAAAAAAAAATGTAATCAAAAAGTTATCATCGAATTTCAAAACAATAATATTTTATTTTTAATTTTTCATTTTATATTTATTTATAATTTTTAAAAAAAATTATTGATATTATTTTCTTTTATTTATTTATGGCAGCAATTCAATATTTTTATTATAAAAAATATAAATATTATTGATAAAACTAAATATTATAGATAAGTAAAAATAAATTGTTATTATTGTATGTTTATAATCTTTATAATTTTATTATTTTAAGATATAAATTTTAATTTTATTAATAATTATTATTGTTGTTTTTTCGTATTTTTTAGTAAATTTATAAATATAATTTAATTTATATTCTCTATATATATATATATATATATATATATGTTTTTATTATTTAAAATATATTTATTTAAAGATATCAAATTTATTTATGTTTTCCATTATAATAAATAAATATTAATTAATTAATATTTGAATTTTATATTAAAAAACCTATATTTTTAATTTTATATATATTTCTTATTGCAAAATTTATATTAATAATTTTTAATTTTATATAATTTATAATTAAATTAATGTTAGTTAAAAATTAGATAAAAAAAATACGAAATAAAGAATTTATAAATATTACTTAAAAATATATTTAAAAATAGAAATTAATTTTAAATAGAATGAATAAATTTTATAATTAAATTAATTTAAACTAAAAAAAAAAATTATTTTAATTTTTAATTAAAAAAAAAATGCAAAACAACTAATATTAACATTAAATTTAATCAGAAAAAATATAAACTTTAATAAAACTAAGAATTAATTGACTAATATTTAATAATAAAAATCTTAATAAAATATATCAAATGAAAGGTTTAATATTCTTTAAATAAATAATAAAGAAATAGATTAAGTAATAAAAAGAAAAAAATCATACTTCTTGTTTATAAAAACAATAATTATATTTATATATATTCTCATATTTTTATATATAAAGGAGAAATTATTATAATTATGTATTGATTTATAAAATTAGAATAAAACTTTAGAATAAGAAAATTAAAATTTATAAACAAATATTGAAGAATTCAAAAATGTAGCTATAAACGATATTACTGAAAAAATGAATTAAATTTTTTTCTTGTAAGATTAATTAGATTAGAACAAGGTTTCAATAGAAAACTTGAATAATTAAAATAAAGAGAAATAATATTTAATTGATTTGAATTAAGAATAATATTAAATTTAATATAAAATATATTAGAAACAGATTTTGGAATACGAAGAAAGATATAATAAGAATTTTTAATTAGAATTTGAGAAAAAAGTTGAATTAGAACAAAAATAATAAGAAGAAATTTCAATTTTAGAAAAAATAAACAAAGACTTATTGTTAAAAGATTAAGAATAATAAATAATTATTAACAATTTTTAATAGGAATTAAATCTAATATAAGATTAATTATAATAATAAAAATTTTTAAATTAATAGTTAAAATAAAAAAATGAAAAGTCTAAAAATAAAAATTTTAGTTTGAAAAAATAAAATTAATAATTTTAAAGTAATATATAGCAGTTATAGGAAGAAAAAGATGAACAAATTTAGAAAATTTAATAATAAAAAGATTAATTTGTTAAAATATTGATAAGTAAAGAATAAGAAATAAAAGAATTAATTGAAAATAATCACCAATATGAAGATACTCTAAAAGAAGCATTAAATGATATTTAAAATTTGGAAGAGAAATTAGATTTGGCTTAAAATATGATTTAAGGTTTGTAAAATTAAATTAAATGTAATTAAAGTTTTGAAAGAGAAAATAAAGAAAATGCACTTGGAATGGAATTTAAAGATGAAGATTTTTTCTTGGATGAAAAACCTAGTAAGAAATATATTAGTAGATGGATGATTAGTTAAGTAATTAATTATTTTTAAATGGTTTATTTATTTATTTTATTAATAGAAAAAAATAAAAACTACTAATTAACTTACTATTGAAAATAATTTAGAAGAAAAATATGAATAAAAATTATCAATTTAATAAAATTTTATTCAAGAAATATAAAAATAAAATGAAGATTTTAAATAAAACGTTATACTATATATTTATTATTTTTTTGTATTTTTTTTTAATAGATATTTTAATAGAAATAGAGTTTTGATTAAATTAAATTTTAATATTTATAAAATTAAGAAAATTTGGAAAATTTTTTTAGATGGAAAAATCTAAATAATAAATTATTATTTAATAATTTAATTAGATTTTTGTAAAAAACAAATAAATTATTTAAGTTTTTTTTGTATAATATATATAGATAAATTTTTAAGAAGAATTTTAAAAACTTTTAAATGAAAATGTTTAAAATAAAAAAAAATTGATAGATTAAAAAACTTAAAACAGAAAATTATAAGATTAAATTAATTATTAATTGTAGTATTTTTTTATATTCTTATAATATTTATTTTTAAATATTAATAGAAAAAAGAATAATAATTAAAATTATATTAAAATAATTGAAAATCATTAATATAAAATAAATTTTCTAAAAGAAATTAATAATTAATAAAAATAGAAGTTAAAAATTATGTTAAATATATAAAATAAAAAAAATAACTCATGCTTATATTTAAAATCTTTACAAGATATTTCTTAAAAAGAAATAGACATTTAAAATGAAAAAATTAAGTTAAAAGGTATATTTAATAAAAAATAATTATGAAAATAATATATAAAAATTTGTAAAAACTAAAATATATATATTATAAATAAATTATTACTTAAATATATATATATATATATATATTTACCTTTTAAATTTTCGTTTATAAGTATATAGAGGAATTTTATGTAAAATTATAATTATTTTATTATTTTAATTTCATAATTTATAAATATTTTTATAATAAACAGTAATGATTATATTAAATTTTTATATTTAATAATTTATATAATATAAACTTATCTATTTATGTAAAATTTAATTAAAAGAAAACATTATTAAATCGATAATATGAATTAATTCAAATAATTAAATTTATAAAAATTATTAAAAAAATAAACTTCTGTCTTTAATACTTTTATTTCTTTATCAAAATACTTTTTTATTTATAATAGTTAATTTTTATTCAGAATTTTCTTCATATTCGTTTTTTGTTATAGCTAAACTTTAAAACGTTGATAAAGATCCTAACATCGATCCTCCTAATATTATTTTTTTCAATATTGAAAAAAAACAAAAAACAAAAATTATGTACAAATATTTCTTAAAATAAATAAACCTATCCATGCAGAATATCTTCTATGAGAATTTTAAATAAAGTTAATATCTTTTCTTTATATATGACTAGGAACTTAAGAAATTAATTCTTTTTCAATTCTTTGCAAAAATCCTTTAAATAAAGAGCTTCCTCCACAAAGAACAACATTTCTTAATAATTCTTCTTAAAACTCGTTATCACATCTACCTAAAGTATCCATAATCATTTAATTAATAGACATACTATTATCTCCAATAATACTAGGACTATATATTTTAATTTATTTATTGGGAAAAATATTATTAATATATTATATATTTTTTATATATAATTACTTAAATAATATCTCAGGTGGTTTATATTTCATAGTATTTGTAATATCAAGTATATTTCCATCTGGTAATTCATAAGATTTTTCTTCTAAACTTATATTATCATTATTTAACTATTTTTTTATATTATAATGAATTTTTTTTGTTTAAAAATAAAATAAAAAATTATTACATCAATATGATAATCCCTAGCTACATTACACATAGTTTCTTTTATGCTTTTATATATTGCATCTGTAACAGTTATACTAGAAGCTTTATTTAATTCCTTAATTATATATGTATTTATTAAAAAAAAGAAATAATATATATATTTTACTTCTTTCAAAATTTCAGTTATTTTTTATCCTGCTAAGTTTGTATGTTAAAATGCATGAAGAATTGGAAAACCTTCGAAAACAGGAATACATGTAGTTTAACTATGTCCAGATTCAATTACTAGTCCTGTAGTTTCTCCAGTCGAAAATAAGCTTAATGTAGAGCTATTTTAGAAAAGAACTGAATTTACCTATTTTTTATGTCATATATATATTTAAATTATTTATACTTTCATATCATCAAATAATATATCAGCTATTTGTTTTTTATATTCTTTAGAGTTCAATGGTGAGTCTATAATTAAAATATTACATGAAGATATTTCATTTACTTATAATAATTAATCTAACACATATACATACATATCTCTCATAGCGTCAATATCAACGATTTTCTTTTATAAAATATATTATTATTATTATTTTTTAAAAAAAACCCCATCTTTTATTGGATAAGAAATATCTAATTTAAATTTATTGTCTAATTTTGCTTATTAAAGTTATTATCCAAATAAATATGACCTTTTTTTAGTTAATTTTTTTGATATTTTAATTTTTTATTACGGTTTTTAATTTGTTGCTTCGTCATTTGGATTTAGTTAAGGAATTCCTCCTACAGATTCTAATACTATCTTTTTTTTTTTTTTTTTAACTTTTCATTATTTGTTTTTTTTTTTTTACTCTTGGATGATCTTCACCTGAAATTCCAATTTTGACTGAATCTGCACCATTATCTATTACAATAATATCTTTTACATCAAATTCACTTTCCATTTAAGCTCTTTTATTTTCTTTTTGTTTATCCATTGTTGTATTTATAATGTTATTTTTTTGATGTTTGATGTTATAGCTTTTTAGTATTTTTTGTTTTATTTATGTTTTTTTAAAAAAAAGAAACTTTTTATATAAAAATAAAATTTAAATTTTTTTTAATTTAATTATTTTTTTGTTAAAAAAAAAAAAACATTAAAATTCATTACTTTATATAATTATATATAAATAATGAAATTAAAAGTGTAAAAATTAATTAAAGTAAATATATTTTTTATAAAGGGTTAATAGGATAATTGTTAGATTCTATATCTATATTAAAGTTTTTTAACTATTTAATAAATTATTTATCTGTTATTTATAGATTGTTAACTAAATTTTATTTAAATTTTCTTTTCCAATATTATCTATATTTATTTGTTTAAATTAAAAAATATAAAATAATAATAAAAAGAATATACCCTGTCTATTATTTCTCTTCTGGATTAGTAAAAGAATAAATATATTTACTTACTTTAATATATTTAGGACCTTAATTTTAAAAAAACGGATTTTCTTTTATTAAAGTATTTAAACTTTTACTATTAGCCAATATTTTATAAACCATAGTAACTAAATAAGTATCACTTATATAAGGCTACATAGCCGAAAACCATAATTACCAGTCTAACCTAGGCTAATGAGGTATATTTACTTTCGGAAAATCTTTTAAATTTCCTGGTTTATAATATAAATTTATTTCTTTATAATTTTTTCCATCTAAACTTCCTTCAAAAATTAATTCCTCTCGTCCTTCAATACCTGTCATTCTTCTAAAAAGCCCATAGTTATTTGCTATAAGAAATGGTTGTGTAAATTAGTTTATATGTTATTGGTAAGGAAGATTTAATGGAAATGAATTTCGAGACTTTTCTAAGCCTTAAAAAAATGAATAAAAAGTACAAGAATATATCAATATTAAGAAAATTAATGCAGTATATTTTTTGAAAATTTTTTAATAAAAGCTTTAACTATTGTTTTAGTAAGAGTAATAAAACATATTACTAAGGGAATAAAAAAAGATAAAAACATACTACTAAAGGTAATTATCCTTCTACAAAAATGTCTTTAATTTATTAAAGATTAAAAGGTAATGCTTTGTTTCTAAAAACAGTTTCATAAAAAAAATAATAATGAAAGAATATCATTAAAAATATTAATAGGAATATTTAAAAATAAGAAATATAACTTTTAAAAGACTTTGTTTTATTATATTATTTAATTTTTTATTTTTTAATGGCTTTTTAATACCTAAAATAACAAATATTAAATTAGGAATAATAGATTATAAGAAAGAATCATCTATAGAACAAAAAGAACTAATAATATTGAATAAAGAAAATATATTTATATATTAAAATATATTTATTTTTTATTTATTGTTTTACACTAAAATGGTTAAAAAATTAAAAAAATTATAATTTCCTGTTAAAATAATCATTATTTATTCACTTACTACTAATAAAAATCCAAAAATTTAAAATTTCCTTATAGGAAAATACATAAGTAAAGTACCTCCTATCTTTTTTTTATAAATTTATATTTATATTTATATTTATGTTATTTTTTATTTACTAAAATAATAAAATTCTAGGCAACAAAAATTTTCTTTATATAATCAGGTAAATTATGAAAATACCAAGAAATTACATTAGGAAGGGGTTAAGATTCGAAATGATAATTTAAAGCAGTTAAGTTCCACCATGTAGGGCATTAACTTTTTTTTTAAAAAATATCTTTTATAAAATTATCTTTAAATATACCTTGTCAATTTAACTATTCCGCTTGCATAATTTAACCTAAACGAAATCCATTTTAATAAATCTTTAGCAATACTTGAAAATTCATCTACATAAATTATATTCTTGTTAAAACTTGGAGTAAAAAATATAGTTATAAAACCCGCTTCTAGTAGCATAATGTCCCATTAAAATGAAGTAAAAACCTAACCGACATGAAAAATAGATAAATATAAAAACCAAAGTATACCAAAAGTTATAAAATTATAAAAATATTTTTATTTTCTATCAAAAAGTACACAAAAACTTAAAAAAATTCCAATAATACATAAAAAATGAAATGTATTATCAAATTCATCATTTTGGGAAAGTTAAGTAAATAATTTTATTATATAACTGTTTATTTATTAACTATATATAAATATTGTCGGGTATTAGAAAAAACTCAAATTAGGTTATTTTTATCTTATTATTTTAAATAAATTCTATTGTAATTTTTGACAATAAAATTATATATTTTATATATATGTTTTTTTTAACTTTTATTGGTAATAAACCATCAGTCCCATATAATGCAGGAATTTATATAAAAAAAGAAGCGAAAGTACTTAAGTATATTACTTTTTTAATTTAAACAAAATATTATTTAATAAAATATACATGCAACTCCTTTCAAATATAATAATTAAATTAATATTATTTATCTATTTTTTTCATATTTCTATGTTTTCATATTTATATTTATATATTTTTTTTATTTTTTATTTTATTATTTTTTTTTATTTTTTTTTATTTTTATTTTTTATTTTTATTTTTTATTTTTTATTTTTATTTTTTTTTAATATTTTTTTTTTTATTTTTTTTTTTTAAATTAAGATATTTTAATTATTAAAAAAATAAAAAAAAAATAAATAAAAAAAATAAAAGATTAAGTAAAAATATTTTAATTGATATTTTATTAGAAAAATATGTTAATATAAAATAAATATTTTTAAAAAAAAAAGATTATATATTTTATTTAAAGATAAATATAAATATAAAATTAATATATAAATAAAAGATATTTAAAGATATATATTTATATATTTATATATATAATATAATATATAATATACCATATTTATTTTGATGAATTCATATTTAAATAATTATAAACTTTCTATTTTTAATACATTTAATATATAAATTTTTAATATATATATTCTTTATTTTAAATTTAATATTTAATCAATAATGTTTTAAATTAATAATTAATCAATTAAAAAATCTATTAAAAAATATTTGTTTTTAAAAAATTTAATATTGCTAAAAGATGAATGTTAAATACATATATACTTATTAATATATATTGAAATATGTTTAATTTTATAGAGTAAATGTTTTAAATTTAATATTTTTTTATTTTTTTATAAATGTAAATTTAAATTTTTTGACATTAATCTCATTCAAATATTTATTTATATATTTTACCTATATATCGTAATATCAAAATTAAATACATTTAGAAAATATTAAAATAAAAATAAATTTTATTTATAATATATATATATATATTTAAAAAAATTTCAATAAAAAATATATTATAATAACATTTTTCTAATAAAAGAAAAAATTATCTTTTATAAATATTAAAAATAAAAATATAATTAAATAAAAATAAAAATACTAAAATATATAATTATTAAATTATATATATATTTATATTTAAAAAAATAAAATAAATATACATATATAAAAAAATAAAATAAAAATATTTTTAAATTAATAATAAACTCTAGTATTTTTTTAATACAAAATTAAATTAACTTTAATATATATAGTTATATTTAATTTTTTTTTAAATTTAATAGATATTTATTCAAAAAATAACTTTTAACAAATGCTTTTTTTATTCATAAATTTCTCTTTACATTTTTAAAGATTCTAGTACATTTTATTTAATATAGCTTTCGCTTTCATATCCTTATACAAGAACCTTAAATTAAGAAACATTTTCTACTTTTTCCAGTTTTTTCTAATAAGTATTAAAAAGCTCTTATATTTTATCTTAATATATTTAATTTTCCATTTCTAAGGTTTTCTTGTTTTCTTCTTCCTATTCTTATATTAAAGTATAGTACATATTTTTTAGTTTGTCTTCTTTATCGTGAATAAGAATACTTGTTTCTTCTTTAATTTAATTTATTTTTTGTACTAATTCCTGCTCTTATATTTTTTCTTTCATTTCTTTTTCTGATAATTTATGGTTGCTAATAAATTTTAATATTTCGTTAATTATTTTTTTTTAAGTATCTTAATTTAAAGCAGATGATTTTCTATTATTCTCATATTATTAACTTTTTTCTAATTCTTATTAAGAATCTAATTTATATTTAGTGTGATATTATTATAGTGTTTCTTCATTTTTTGCTATTATTTCTTTTAATTTTTATAATTCTTCATTTTTTTATTAAAACTCTTCATTTAATTATTCTATAAGGTTTTATTTTTTATTATTTTTTATTCTATTTCATTGTTTTTGTTTATATACTTAAATTATTCCTTAATATTTGGATTTCTTTTTATTTGATTTTCTCCTCTAAAATAAGCTTTTTTTATTAAAATAATTCATTTTCTTATATATATTTTTCTATATTATTTGGATGATATAAGGCATTCTTTTTAGTTCAAAAATAAAAAAAAAGTATTAAAAAAAAAAAAAAAATATTTTACATTAAGTTTAATTATTTCTTTATTATTTGTTAAATAATTTAATAAAAAGTCAAATTTTTGATTTTCTGTGAATTTTTAAATTTCTAAATCACTAATATCATTTTTTAAAGAATTAATTTAATCAATAAGCTCCTCCATTTTTTCTTTATTTATTCTATCGTAAGTAAATGACTTTAATTCTCTTAATTTAGAATTTAAATATTCGAAATTTTATTCTTATTTACTTTTTTTTTCTCTATTCCACTCTATACCTTAACTATATCATATTTATATTATTTAAAAAAAGAATGATTCTTAACTTCATCAATATTAGGTCTGTTTAAAGGATTTTTATCGAGCATTTTTAAAACTAAATTCTTTGCCAAAAACGGGAAATCATTTCCAAAATTAATTTCTTAATTTAAAATATTTGTATTTATTTATTATAAACTTATATTATCTTTTTAGTCTTCAAAAGGAGTTTTCCCTGTTAATAATTCGAATATGAGAACTCCCAAACACCAAATATCAACTTTTTCATTTTAATTTCCTCCTTGTATTATTTCAGGGGCCATGTATACTGGAGTTCCTGTTTAAGTCATATTTACTTAGTTTTTTTAAAATTATTTAGAAGAACCAAAGTCAATTAGTTTTATTTAAAGATTATTTGCTAGGAGTATATTTTCAGGTTTTATATCTCTATGTATTATTGGGGGGTCCAAATTATGCAAATAGGAGATCGCTTATATAATTTATTTTAAGAAAAAAATGCTTTATTTTTAATCTAATTTTCCTCCTTTATTTTTCAAATAGTCGTACATATTTCCTTATTGATAATATTTAGTCACTATATATATATTTTCTTTATCTTCAAAATGTGATTCGACATCTATTATATTATCATGATTTACTCTGTACATATTTTCAAGTTCATTACCTATTAATTTTATTTATTGTGGGGTTAGTTTGGATTTTTTGATTTATTTTATAGCATATGTTTATCTATTGGATTTTTTAATTGCCTGTTTTATTTTTATTTTTTTTGTTAGGTTTATTTTTTTACTTTTCGAATTTAACCGTTTCCTCCTTCATCTACGTATTCAAAATTTTCGTAGTTTTAGATACAGTCGTCTTTTTCAGTTGGAGAAAGGCGAGGATTTCGAAAATACCATTTTTATTGGGAATTTTGACTTTCCATTTATTTATATTAATATGAATAATTAATAATATTTAGTTTTTTTGTTTTTAGAGGTAATTTATTATATGTTTTTTTATTTGTTTTGAATATTTTTTTTGTTTTAGTAATTTTTATTTTTATAATTGTTATACAAAATTTCTATTTTTTTAATTATTTTAAATATTTTATATGTTTCCATTGTTATGTTTTTTTTGCTTTTCAAGAATAATTTTTTTTTTCTTTTTATAAAATTGTATAAATAAACTTTTTGATTTAATATTTTTTATAGATATATGATTTTTATGTTTTTATTTATTTTTAAAAAATATAATTGATTTTTTGTTTAAGTTTAGCATTAATTTTTTAATAATAAAATTATTGCTTTTTAAGATTTTCAAATTAAAATTATATATATTTTGATTTAAAATAGGTTTTAATTTATATATATTTATATATAATTTTTAAGTCTATTAAGTTTTACAAATAATTAATAAAGTAAAAATTTCTCTTATAAGGAATATAAGTAAACTCAAAATATCTAATTTTTTTTAAAAAAGGAATCTGGTCAATTTGATAATTTATTTTAATTGAAAAAAATAAATAAATAATTTCTAAAAAATTTAATTATTTATTTTTATGTTAAAATTTTTTTGTGTTATTAATTTAAAATATATTTATTAAATATTTTTATTATTATAATATTAAAATAACATTATTTTTAACTTAAAAAGTATAAATAATAAATATATATTCAAAATATGAAAAAAAAAATATATTTTTAATATAAATGGAATAAAATTACTTGAGGATAGAAAAAAAAAACAATATTTTATATATAATTAATTGATTATATAAATATATTTTAATTATAAATTTTAATATTAATTATATATTTTTAAAATTTTATAAATATAATAATAAATAAAAAATTCATATTTTTGATTATAAATGACTAAAAAACAATGAATCAAAATATAAATAATATATAATTACTTATTTTATATTAAATTATTTTTAAATTATATACCAAAATTTAAAAATATAGTAATCAATATAAAATTAATATAAATGAAATAAAATTATTTTAATATATAAAACTTTAACTTCTTTCATATTATTAAAAATAATATAAAAAAAATTAATTTAAGATATAAAAAACAAATATTAATGAATTTTATTTAAAAAAATATATAATGTTTTTATTTTTTTTCTAATAAATAATATAATTTTTAATATTAAAAAATTATAAAAAAAATAATTTTAAGAAATAAAAAAATATAAATATTTATAGATATATAAAAATTATATTATATCTATAAATAAATAATTTTAACTAATATTTTATATATATTAATTCATAATTTGAAAAAAAGAAAAAAAGAAAAGAAAAATATATTATAACTAAAATAATAATAAATAAAATATTTATATAAATAATTTTTAATAAAATATAAAACATCATCGACTAAATAAAATAATATATTTTAAAAAATTCTTATTAAATTAAAAATCAATTTAATATATAAATTAAATAAATAAAAAAAATATTCGAATAAAATATAAATTAATCTTTTCTAAAAATTTAAATATATCTAAATATGTAAATAAAATATAAATTTTATTTTATTAAAAATGATATGTTTTTAATTATATTATTTTATATGCATACTTATATGTATATAAAAATTTATAATTATATAGTATATTTATATATTTATGAAACGAATTTCAAAATTAATATATTTTTTTAAAAATTAATAAATATTATTAATATATTTACAAAGGAATTAAATAATTAATTATTTAAATAAAAAATAATAAACTAACATATAAAAAAATAATGTAAGTTTCAGAATAAATATCGTAATTCTTAATAAGTGTAAATGCAATAAGTCCTTAAGAATTACAAAGAAGCGGCAAACATTAATATACTTTGTCAAAAAATACAACTCAATCACTAGAAAATGGGCAAAAATTTATTAAAATAATAAAATATATATCAAAATTAGATACATAAAAAAAACTGGAATAACCTTTTCCTGAATTAGATTCTTTAAAAGAAATAAATACTCCATAAGCCAGATTATATAATTGGAATATTTTAAGCGAAATATTTAAAAAATTAAATATTATTTTAGAGCCTGATATAAAATCTTTAATAATTGCTGGAGACTAGGATATTTTATAATAATTTATTTTAAATATAATCTAAAATATTTAATAGATAATAACAGAAAAAAATTTAAAAAAGAATATAAAAGCAAATATAAATAAAATGATTGTATATTTATATATATAATAATGTAATATATTTTTATTTAAAATAATATAGATAAAGATTAAATAAATATAGGTAAAATAGACTTAAATAAAGAAATTACAAAAACTTCAAGTTGTTTAGAATTTTTCGTTATTTTACTTTCAAATAATCTTTCATTGCCTGTTAAATAAGTATATATATAAACTTATAAATATATAAATATAAATATAAATATATATATATATATATATATATATATATATATATTTATATTTGTTTTTAAATTATTACAGACAATCAGTCTTTTTACTAATAATAATAAATATTTAGCATATCTTTTTGCAAAAGGAGTAAAGAGTTTATTTGATCCTATAATATAATTTTATTAAGAAGTTTATATGAATATTCCTCATTTAATAAAGCTTTTTAATGAAGACAATACCCGATAAAACATAACTTTTACTATGAATGTAATATATTTTTTTATATATATATATTAATAGTTTTAAACTTAATATATATAGTGTTTGAAACCCGGAATTATAAGTAAAAATATAGAAGTATCTTCTTGGACAGCTCGTTTGTTTTCTAAAATGGGATTCGAATTAGCAGATACTAATTTGTTTTCTACTTGCTGGGATTGGTTTATTAGCGAACATGGTGGCTTATAAACTTGTTTATTAGGATTAAAAAGACATCCTGATTTAAAAGAACTTATTCTTAGTGTTTTATTATAGTTTGCAAAGTTTAATTTTGTCGAGTTATTTACAATTTTTATGAAAAGAGTATAAGTTGATTCAAAGGATCTTATTTCTGTTTATTTCTAGATATTAAAACCTTTAACATAATCTGATTTAGCAAAAGAAGAAGTGAATTTATATATATATATATATAAAAATATATATATATATATATATATATATATATATATATATATATTTATTTTAATAATTTATTTATATCTTAGATGTTAAGTACTGGCATTTTAGATGAATGGATTGATTAAGCCATATAGTATGCCGAAGAAGATTATAAAAATATTGGTGATACTAGGATTATTTCATTACAATTTATAGGCGAAGTATGGATTTTATTTCCTTTTAAAATTGAAGAAAATGAGAATCGTTATTAAATGATTCTTTCTTTGTTCACAAATGCTTCCAAATCGAAAATTACTTCGTTAATAATAAGTTGTTTGACGGTTCTTTTTGAACTTCTGGATCAATTTGCTACTTTAAAAAGTCCATCTGCACCTAATATATACCGTATATTGACTTTAAGCTTAATTGAAAATCACTAAAATATTCAGATTAGGGAGTTTATGTTATATAACTTTATTTAAATATACTCTAATGTTGAAAATATTCCTTTTAATATTCTTTTAGAACCTTTAATTAGGTAAATATAAGTGAGTGAGAATATTACTTATTTTTATAATGTCATTGATTTTGAGTTTTTTAATTTTATTTGCTAAAACGAGAAATTATAATTTAAAAATGCAATTTAAATTTTAGATTTGCTTTTTAAAATTTACCTAAATAATGTTGTTTTTGCGAATTCTGCGTTATTTATAATTTTAAGTTTAATAAAAAAATATATTGAAAATGAGACTTTAAATGAATTTTTGATTAAATTTGTAAAGGTTGCATTAGCAATGTTTTATGCAAGTGAAAAAAAAAAAAAACCAAAAGAAAAAAATCTTCCTTTATATAATAACAAAAGTCCGGCATAAAATGTGAATAATTTACTCCCTGTAGAAATCGATAACGAAATCTTTTAAGCTTAAAAAAGGGCCCAGATCATATAAATTATTAAAAGTATAGTATAGTTAAATAATATGGAGATTAATGAGAAGATTATGCCATTGGTTGCTCATACTAATATCTAAATTAAAGTTTTTATGTAACATAATTGTAAAGGAATGCTTTCTATTCTTTAATATTTTGGAGATCCTGAGTAAATATTAGAGAAATATGAAATTGAATATAAAGAACATTAATAGCAATTATTAAAGGAAGAAAAAGAAAGAAAAGAAATAGAAGATTAAAATTAAAATTATAATAATTTGGATATAGAATAATAAGATATACTTAAATCAGTTGAAAATAATATAAAAAAATACGGTATAGGACTTAAAGATAAAAAATATTAACTAACAAAAGAAGAAACAACTAAATTAGGTTATATATATATAAATAGATATATATATAAATAAATAATTATATATATTAATATTAATAATATAATAATTTATATATATTAATATATTTATATAAATAGCACTTTTAAGAAATCCAAAAGCAGACCCTAAAATTTTAAAAAATTTAATAGAAATAAAAAATAATTTTATTAATAAATAAGAAATGAAATAATTAAAAGCTTAATAAGAATTAGATGATTTTGGGAATAAAAAAGATACTTTAAGGAAAATATTAATTAAAAGAAGTTTAGAATAAGGAGTTGCTAGTTATAATTAAAGAGACGTTGAAGCAAAAATATTATTTGAATATGGTTCTAGATAAAAACAATTAAAAAGAGAAAATAATACGGGATTATATTAAATATAATACATTGATTTAAATTTAGAAGAAGAAAGGGATAAAAATATGATATAAATAATACTCAGAAGATACCATAAAGTTCTCAAAAACATATTTGTTAAATATTCAAATTCAGGTTTTTCGGTTTAATTTACTAATTAAAATATAAATAGCTTTGATAATATTAAATAACATAGTTCTATGATTAGTGTACCAGAAATATATTAATTTGTTAAATATTATGAATTTTCAGATTTATTATCTAATGAAGAACATAAAGTAAGTTTTTTTTTTTTTTTTTTTTCTTATTTAAATTATAAAAAAAAAAAAATTAAAGGTTTTAGTAAGATTAGTGGCAACAAAAGGAAATAGAAAATTATTAAAAAAAAATATAGAAAATATAAGCTAGGAAAAAATATAAGAAGAAAAATAAAAATAAAATATGTTTGAAAAAAATAGTTAAAAAAATCAATGGAATTATGCGAAAAACGATATTAAAGATGTTAAAGCATTCGATTTTTTTGGTTTTTAAGATTATATTGTATAATTATCGAGTTATATATATACTAAATTGCCTAATGATTTTAGACATTTACCTTTAAATTGTTCACTATAGAAACTTTTTGACCATATGAGATTTGTTACTAAAAATAAAAATAAAAATACTGCTTTATTTGATGATCCGGATAATTAATATTTCGGAGAAAGTGAAGTTATTAAAGAATATAATAAAAAACTTTAATAAAATCCTGATTATCCTTTACCAAAAGTATTATATATATATATATATATATATATATATATATATATAATATAAAATAATATATTTTTAATAGGGATATAAAAAAATAAAAGAAAAATAATTAAAATTTGATTATAATATAGATAAGTAAGGAAATATACCAATAAAAGAATCCTTTAAATATGCCTATATATTTTTAAATGAGCTTTTAAATGAAAAACTAGGTTTTCATTTAATTGAACCAAAATCTATAATTAAAGAAGTTGTAAAAGCATAGCCTATAATATAATAAATTATAGAAGTAGAAGCACATTATTTAGATCATTTTAAATATCCAGAAACATGTGGGAAAAAATAAATAAAAAGTATTAATTAAAGTATGTAAATAGATAATTAAGGGCCTAAAGACAGTACAAAATCTTTACCAAGTACTTTATATGGATAAAAAAAATACAGTGATAAGAGAGTGTTAGAAATTGATTCTTTGCATAATCTAAATTTAACAATGAAATTAGTTATTTCATAATATAGTTATAAAGATAAGTATACTGCAGAACAAGTAAATATATATATAAATATATATATATATATATATATATATATATATATATATATACATATATATATATATAAATTTATATATGTATATAATTTTACTCATATAATTATATATATATTAATATACCAATTAAATATTTTAATAACTATAATAAATCATATTTTAATAGTGTGCTTTTTGTTTAGATGATGTTATAAAAGCTGTTGAGAATAAAAAAGATAGTGTATCTAGATATAGAAAATTTGATAAGTAAAGTATAAAGGAAGAATAAGAAGAAGAAGAAGAAGAAAAACATAAAAAAAAAAGCTTAGAAAAAAGATTAAAAAATCATGAATTTATTTAAATGAGGGCAAAAGAAATATAATAATAGAACGAACTTTTGGAAAAAGATAAAAAAGAAAAGGAAAATAAAATCAAATAATAAAAAGAAATATAGGAAAAAAAATGGGTTGAGGATAATAATAAATTCTGGTAATAAAAAAAAGAAAGTTATGAAAAATTAAAAGCTAAAAAAATCGAAGATGAAAAAAGAATATTGGAAGAATTATATAAGAAATAATAAGAAGAAAAAGATAAAAAAGAAAAGGAATTTCAAGAATTTAATAAAAATCAAATTATTAAATTAAAAGAAACTTAATAAAAATAAAAAGAAAAAGAAAAATAAGTAGAAATAATTAATATTTAAAAATATATAATCATTAATAATATTTATATATGTAGATGGATGAAGAATATAAAAAATTAGAATAGTATCAAAAAAAACTTAGGGAGAAATTGTTTATGAAAATTGTAAAAGATAGTGAAGAAAGAATAGAAATAGAAAAAATTGCAAATAATAAAATAAAAGACTTAATTGAATCTTAAGAAATTTAATATGTTTTTAAAGAAAATGAATTTAAAATATCTTAACTATTTAGTTATTTAAAAAAATATAATTATAGAGTTATTTCACGATAAGATTTAAATGATGAAGAAATAGATTTTAAGACTTTTAATTGGTTTGTTTATAGATTTAATATTTATCCAGAAGTCATAACTAATGCAAAAGATATTTTACTAATTTTCAGATCTATTACTAGGAATAAATAAGTTATAGACAATAAACCTATAGGTATTTAAAAAATATATATATATATATAAATATATATATATATATATAAATATATGTTTATATTTATATTTATATATTTATATTTATATTTATTTATATATATATAAATATATATATTAATTTGTATTCTTTTATTTATATTAATTAGGAGTTAATGAAAAAGAATTTAAAGAAGCGCTTGTAAGATTAGCTATAAAAGGAAAAAAAATTTTTAATAAGTTTTCTGAAAAAATAGAAAAAGGCGAAAATTTAAATTAATTAGAAATGGAAAATATAGCCAATAAAGAAAATAATATGTAAAAAAATAATTAACTAGATGACAGTAAAACTGTTAAAACTTAAAAAACTGAAGCTTTAGAAAAAATGAAAAATGTAATTGATGATTATGGAAATATAGAAGAGGCTAAGTCTTGTACTTTAGAATCTCTTATATATTATTTAGGTCTACCTAATGACAAATTAGGTATTAGTGAAGCTCTTAAAAATGTTATTGAAAGTAAACCTAAGCCTGATTAACATTTAAAAAGAGGTATTTTATTTTATTTTTGTTAAAATTAAATATATATAAATAATATATAGATTTAAATATAAAGATTTAAAAAGATCCAAAAGATTTAATTAGATATAACCCTGTTTCTAGTAAAAAAAATAAAAATGGATCTTTATATGAAAATAATATTTCTATTATTTAAGATAAATAATAAGATTAATTAATTGAAGAAAATTAAAAAGAAGGTAAATATAATTATATAATTATTTATTATTAATTGATTGTATTTTTATAAAAAAAGAGGATGTTAAAGAAGAAAATTAAAATGATTAAATCTAAGAAAAAACATAAGAAAATTGAAAAATAATATATAAAATAATATAAATATATATATATATATATATATATAATTATTTTATATATATAGTAATTTTATTTAATCTTTTTCTTTTAATAATTTAATTCATTTATTTTTTAAAAATATTTTTATATTTTATATTTATGATTATTTTTATTCTCTATATATTAATAACAATTTTATTTTAAAAAAATTATAACTATTAATTTAAAAAAAAAAATTAAATAAAAAAAATATATAAAAAAAACTATATATATTAATAATGAGTGGTCAAGGAATCAAAAATATCATCAATGATAAGCAAAAATTAAAAAAAGTCACTGAAACCGCCTTTAAAGCTGTAGATATTGATGGATCAGGATACTTAGAAAAAAACGAGCTTGAATAAGTTATGATTAATGTTGCTTCAGATATAGGTGTAGAAAAGCCAACTAAAGAGGAAGTTGATGAGGTCTTAAAAGAATTAGATGAAAATGGAGATGGAAAATTATCAATGGAAGAATTCTAAGTATTAATAGAATAAGTACTTGAAATGATGTCAAATGCTTAGGGTTAAAAATGAAAAAAAAATTATAATATTTTTTTTTTTTTTTAATAATAATTTTTTTATTACTTGATTAAATTTTATATAAATATTGCAAAATTAAAACATTTATTTAAAATAAATATTTCTCTGATTCTTAAATATTTTATATTATAAATTAGAAAGATTTATATATTTAAATAAAAAAATAATAGTTTATAATTTTTATTAATTTTTTCATAATAAAAATAAAAAATTAAAATTTTTTAATTTTTATCTTTAATTAATATAAAAATATATATTTATTTTAACATTATAGAAAAATATTTTTATTATTTATATGTATAAATATATATATTTATATATATATATATTTATATTTATTTATTATATATTTTATTTATATCTATATATATATTTAATATAGATATTTTTTTAAAAGATTATTTATTAAATAAGAAAAATTTTTTTAAATAAAATTTATTATATTAAATATTTTATTTTTATTTTATTTATTATTTTATTATATCTATTAATCTCTTAAAAATAAATAATAAAATAAAAAAAAATATTATAAATGGAAAAAAAAATTATTTTAAAATGGAATATAATTAATAATAAAAATAAAAACTATTCAAATTAAAATTAATTTTATAAATAAAAATAATTATAAATAGGATAAAAAAATTAAAAACAAAATTATTTTAATATAAAATTTTTGATATAAATTAATTTTATTTTATATATATAATATTTTTTATTAATTATAATTATTAACTATATAATAAAAAAAATGTTCTTTATAAATATAATATTTAGTTTAAAAAAAATATATTTAAAATAAAAATTATTTTAAATAAAAAATTTATTGTTAAATTATATTATAAAAATATACCAAATATAATAATTATAAAAAAAATATAATAATTATACAAATTTTAAAAAATATTCATAAACTTTATAAAATAAATTATTCTTAAAAATAATATATATTAATATTAATTTTATACATAATATTATAAATTTTTAATAAAATAATAATAAATATAATAATAATAATAATATTTTATTTCAATATTTATATGAATAATTAATAAGGTTATTTTTTTCATTATTAATTACATTAAAAAACATATATTATTAAATTATTAATAATATTATTTTTTTTATATATATTTATTTAAATATATATATTTATATAATCTTAAATAATTTATATGCTAATTAACATTTCTTATACTTAAATATCCTTCATAATTCAAAAATTATCTTTTATAATTTTACAAATTTTTATAATAACAATTAAGAATGAAAATTAATATAATTTTTATATAATCTAATATTTAATATTATTATAAAAATAAAATAATTTATTTTTTGATTTAAATTACAGATAAATTTATTATTTATTCATTTTTAAAACATATAAATTAATATAATTATAGGTTTCTTATATCTATTTATATATTTTTAATTCATATTTATTTAATATATTTTCTATTTACAAAAAATGAATTAGTAGTAAATCCTTAATTTAATGGTATATATACATAAAATTAATAAAAAATTATCATATAAATATAATATATATATATATATAAAACAAAAAATTATAATAATTATAATAGACAAAAAAATAATGAAAAATGATAAAATATATTTAAAGAAAAAAAAAAAAATTAAACATAATAATTTTTTTTTAATTTAAAGAAACAGAAAAAAGAAAAAATTAAAATAAAAAAGAAATACTTTAAAAAATAATAAAAAATATAAAATTAATTTTAAAATTTATGAAATCTCGTGTTTCTGATTACTAAATTATTCCTTTTTGTCCAGTTCTTTATCCTTCTATCACGGATTTTAATGAATTTTAAAGTTACATAGAAAAAATTGAAAAAGAATATTCTAAAGAATATGGAATGGTTAAAGTATTTCTTTAACTTCTTAATTTAAAAATTTATAATTATAATATTTAATTTATATAATTTTTAATATAAAAAATAATATATAATAATAATAAAATAATAAATATTAATATTTATAATTTATTTTTATCATTTTTATAGTTAAAATTATATTTTTATTATATTTTATTCTCTTTTTTTTAATTTATTATATAATATGTAAATAATAAAAAGATTATTCCTCCTTAAGGATGGAAAGCTAGATCTACAGATTGTTAAGAGGCTTTAGGAAATAAAATAATAATTGACCCAATAGAACAAAATCCATAAGGAAAAGAAGGTTTATTTTAATAATTTTTTTATTTCTAATGTATTTTTTTTATTATTATTAAAATAAATTATATTTTTTTCGGATAATTTAATATTTATCCTCTTGTATTTAAATATTATATAATATTTGGAATTATTTTACTTTTTATTAAATATAATTTATTTATTATTATTAAAACTTTTATTTTTTTATTTTTTTTAAATTAAAATATTCTTAGGTGTTTATGAATGTGTCCATATAATTAGAAAATCAATGTCTTTCCGTGAATATAAAAAAAAAGCTATAGCCTTTGATAAAGTAACAGATGGAAAATCCATTGTAGAAGTAGAAGATTTAGTAATCAATTTTATTTATAAAAAAAAAAATATTTTTAAAATATTTTTAGTTTTGGAAAAGCATTTCATTTAGTCCACCATTATATGGATCAGATATTTAAATGTCTATTTTTGATGAAAATGTCAAATGGAATTTAAAAAATTTAGATTCTATACTAAAGTTTTTAAAATATAAAATTTATATTCTTTTATATTAAAAAATATAAAAATAAAATAATAATAATAAACAAAAATAATATTATATTTACATATATATATAAATATAAAAATATAAATATAAATACTAATAAGTTTGTATTTTATAATAAAATATATTTTATAAAATATAGTTAAGGATTAGATTCTAAGATTTCTGGTGTAAATACTCCTTATTTATATATAGGAAGTTGGAAAACTCTATTTTCATGGCACAAAGAAGATTTAGATCTATCTGGAATTAATTTTTTACATTATGGAAAACCTAAGTAAAAAAAAACAATTTAGATGACTTATATAAATATATTTTAATTTTAATAGATTTTGGTATTGTATTCCTAAAAGTGAAGATTATAAACTAGAAAACATTGCAAAAAACAACTTTCCGGATGCTTTTGCAAAATGTAATTAATTTTTGCGACATAAAACAAGTATAATAAATCCTTATTAAATACTTCGAAAATGTAAAGGTAATATAAAAATGTGTAAAATAGCATAAAATGAAGGAGAGTTTATTATTGTATTTAGTGGAGCCTATCATACAGGATTTAATTGGGGATTTAACATTGCAGAAGCTGTAAATTTCGCAAGTTTAAATTGGCTTACAGTTTTTCAAGAAAGTAAACCTTGTAAATGCCATTTAGATAATGTGAGTATTAATCCTTAGAATTTTATTAATAATTTGTTGAAAAAAAGACCTGATTTGATAGGTATTGAAAAAGTAAAGTAGTTTAAATAGTGGATTAAATAATAATAAATTTACGAAGAGCAAAACTTTTAGTCTTCTGATAAATAATATAGTAGTTTTGAATAAAAAAATAGATAAATAAAGAATAATGTAAGAAAGGTTAAAATAAAAAAAAGTATAAGGAAAAAAAATAAAAAGAATTGATAAATAGATATTTGAGTTTATTTTATTATCTATAAAAAAAAAGTTAAAATGAGTTATTTTTTATTTAAAAAAAAAGTAAAATATATATAGATTTTTTTTATTTAATTATTATTATTATATTATATTTTATATATATAAATATAAATATAAATATATTATTTAATTTTTATCATTTTTGTATATTTTTGTTTGTTATTTTATTTTATTTTAAAAAATATTGCAAATTTTAAATATTTTTTCACAAAAAATAAATATAAACATATTTAAATATAATTTTAATATATTTTTCCATTTATATATATGTATTTAAATAATAATTATTTTTTTATTTATTAATTTTTTTTGTTATAAATATATATAAATGTGTATATATATTTATTATATATTTAAATAATCAATTAGCTTCTTCATTTCCTACTTGTAATTCTAATTCAGTTATACGTCTTTAAAGTCCTAATAATTATTATTATAATGCTGTTTTTTCTCCTTTTAGAGATGTTATTTATTATTATAAACGCGCATTTTCAGCTTTTTGATGAGCAAAATGGCGTTTCATTTCTTCTTCAATTCTTGTAAGTTCATTAGTTAATGTTTTTTTTACATCCTAAGTTTTCATTGATAAAACTGATTATAAAGTATCTTTTTCACTTTTTAAAATTTATACTTCTTTCTTATGGAAATTCATTTCCTCAGCAATTCCTTTAATCATTTCCTATATATTTATTTCTAAAATAAATATTAATATAAGTTGTTACTTCTAAAGACATTAATTTGCCTTTTAAAGATGCAGGATTTGATCCGAATTATGATTGAGTATTATTAAAACCTTTTTGTGTATTTCCATATTCATATTCTTCATCTGGACGAGCATTTTTTCCATATTTTGATTAACTATTCATTTATTTGATTATTTTTTAATTTTATTTTTTTAATTATATTTAGTAAAATAATTGTTACAAAAAATTAATATTTCCTATTTTTATTTTAATAGAATTTTTTATAGTTTAATAACTATTTTTTACAATAAATAAAAAAATATATAAATATATATAAAAAAATATATAAATATATATATATTTATTTATTATATATATATATATATATATATATTATTATACTATATATTTTTAATTAAATTAATATAATAAAAATACATATTTATTATCTATTATATATTTATATAAAAATTATGTACTATATTTTTTCTTTTTTTTATTTATTTCTTAAATCTTTTATTTTTTAAAAAATTATATTATTAATATAAATATTTTTTTATTAAAATAACATATAAAATTTAACTTTTAAAATTTCACATTTTTTATTATTTCTGTTATAGAATTATTTCTTTATATTTTTATAAATTTTCATTTATAAAGACTTCGAATTCTTTAAAATTTATTACATTTCCCCCACAATTAGTATCATCTTTCTTTATAGTTTCACAAATTTCCTTAACTTATTTCTAATGACTAGTTTTAATCTTCTAATTTTAAAACCTTTAGAAATCTTACTTAGTCGGAGGTGGTACATAAGGTAATTCTTTAACACAATCAGTTCTTGGTTCTTTTCTTATTTTTAAAATATCATCAAAATGAGCTGCCCATTCTATTCTTTTTGAAAATTATTAGTCTTATAAATTAAAAATCCTTAAAACTGTAGAAATTATTGACGAATGCTCCCATTATGAACTATTTTAAGGTTTTTGATTATCCATAGGTTTATTTATAAGTGTATTTTTTTCAATCCATGGCGAAACAGCTATCATAGGTACTCTAATACCTAATCTATTGAATTTGAACCCATCTACATTATCTATACCATCAGGATTAGGTACTCCATCCTAAGGGGGAGATACATGATCATAAAAACCACCATGTTCATCATACGTGATTATAAATAAAGTCTAATTCCATAAAGGTCCGTTTCTTAGTGCTTCGTAGACATTTTTAATTAGCCTTTCTCCTTCTTTTATACTATGATTAGGATGCTAATCATTCATTAAACCGAAAGATTTGGTATTATTTAGAGTACTATTGTATGATTCGGAAGGATTAATGAATGTATAATTTGGTAAATCTCCCTTTTCGGCATCTTAATAAAATTATTCCATGGGTATAAATTTAGTTGAATTATTGAAGTTTTCATTGAAATGGTTTATAAATAAAAACCAGTCATCAGCATCATTTTCCCAATAATATCTCCAAGAGAGTCCATTTCTTTCCAATACAGACTACAAAGTCTAATTTTTAAACGATCCAGTCGTCTATTCGTTACCCAAGCAACCATTACACGTCCCCGAATGCATAAAAAGTCTATTAGGATTAGTAGGACCTGGATAAGAGGAAAAATAATTATCAAAAAGTGCATATTCATTAGCCAAAGTAGTCAATATGGGTACATTTTTAGGAGATTACATAGACATTTCAGTTATTCCATTTTTTCCTTCTCTCCTTGCACTCATAACAAATCCTTTCATGTTTGCATCTCCCTTATTTGTTGAGTGATTTTTGCAAGGATTATCACCTGTTTATTAGTTAAGGGTATATAGGCAACCAAAAATTCGTTAAACAGTAGATTAATGGCCATGATCAGGATCGTATTAGGAAAATTCAGAGGCTTTGTCATCTACACATATTTAACCTAAAAACGGGAAATAAACATTTTTTGGATTACATTCTTAACCAGTAAGACCGTCTACATTTTTGTTGCCGAATTTTCCGCCTTTAGTCATCCAGCCCAACATATGGTCAAATGAACGGTTTTCCATCATTAATACGACGATGTTTTTTATTGGGTGATTTTCGGTTGAGGTTTTAATTAATAAAGGAAGCGTTGTTATTAAGATTATTATTTATATTAGAAACATTTTTTTTATTTATTTTTTTCAAGTTTTATATTTATATTAAATATGATATTATTATATATATATATATATATATATATATATATATATATATATATAAATATAATAATATTTTTTGTTTTTAAATAATTTAATTTATTAGTAATTTATGTTTAAATTAAGATTTATAATATATATTTTCTTTTTTACTATTAGATTTTTTTGAAATTGTAATCATTTTGAAAATTGGAATATTAGCTTTATTATATACATATATATAATTTTTATAGTTATTTAAGATAATTAAGAGCTTATCTTTTATTTAATATTAGTAATAAATTAGATAGTTTTATTAGTATTATATTAAGTTATTTATTAATATATATTTTCATTTATAATTAAAATTAACATTCATTTTTAAAAATTAGGCACTATTTTTTTTCAAAATGTAATCAATACCATAATTATAATTTTTTTTCTTTTTTAAAATTGTGAAAAATAAAATATAATATTAATTTTATATTATTATAAGATAAATTATTGTTTTTATAAAAAAATTAGTTAATATATTTATTTATTTTCTTTTAGATATATTTTTAATAATATATACTTATATATATATATATATATATATATATATATATATATATATATATTTATATATATATATATAATGTTTTTTATCAATTATTGTTATTTTTTTCATATATTATATAATTATTTGAATTTATTTTTGTTTAATATTATTTATAAATAGTAAGTTTTGTTAATTATGTAATTTATATTTAAAATAAAATTAGATCAAATTTAATAAAAAATTGTTATAATATAATTGAAATAAATTAAAAGAAATTCATAAAATTGATTTTTCTAAGAATATTTAATAATTTTAATCTTTGTAATTTTAAAAAGTATATAATTAAAATCATATATATTGTTTTTATTATTAGCGAAATAATAATAAAATATTTAATATATAAAAATTTAATTATTATAATTCTAAATATTTTTTCAATAAAATTAAAAAATATAATAACAAATATAAAAATAAAAAATATAGCCAATATTAAATATAAATAATACATATATATATATATATATATATATATATATATATATATATATATTTATTTTAATTCTAAATAATTTCCATTGAAAAAAAAAGAAACTAAAATTTATAAATATACATTTAAAAAAAAAAAAAAATGTCTTATTAAACAATCGCAAACATTTTAAAAGGAACATTTTAAGCATAATCTACAGCCGAACAAAAATAAAATGAATAACTTTTACATGAACATTTATAAAAAGACCCTGATTTTTTATAGAATCTATTAATAATATGTTCTTCTACTGAAATCTAAAGTCCAATAAAAGAAAGTGCATGTTTATATATAAATACTTATTTACGTATATTTTTGCATGACAAAAAGACTAAAAAAGAATAAAAAATATCATGGTGTGAATTATTTATGAATTCCTTAAAAGAGCCTGGAATTGAATTAAAAAATAAGCTTAAATTAAGTTATAGTTTAAGTTAAGTATTAAGTAGTAGTAGTAAAAATAATAAATTGTAGACCGAAGTTTTTATAAAAATACTTTAGTGGATTTAAATTAAAGATAATTAATTTATTATAGCTTCTTTATTATCTTTATAAGCTTTAGTTTAAAACGTATTAGAACTAGATTAATAATATAAAATTTTCGAAACCGTATGCATATAGTTCTGTTAAATTCCTCTCTTTTATTTCAACCCACTCTAATCAATTAATAATTTTTCTTAAAACATTAAAAAAGATGTTGTTGAATGGTAAAAAATAAAAATGAAAATATCTATAATTATATATATATATATATATATATATATATATATATATATATATATATATATATTTATAATTTATTATAATCTATTTAGTCTTAATATAATAAATTTATGGGCATAAACATTAAGAAAAATAATAAATATATTTAATGAAAAAGTAACAATATAATATAAAATGCATTTTTGGAAAATTCTATAAAATAAAGACATAATTGAAATAATATAAAAAAGCTTAAACTTAAAAATTCTTTTTTAAAACAATTAATAATAATAATTAACAATAATATCATAAACATAAATATAAGAAATTGACGAATCTCTAAACGAGTTTAAATTTACAATTTTAAATATTTTCCATATTTTTCTAAATTTCATATTCGAAAACAAACAAAAACTCCAAAAAGATAACAATATAACACTAATAGACTATTTTTTTCCATAAATACTAACTTAAATAACATATTCACTTAAAAATTCTCAAAAAGAAGACAAGAACGAACATTAAATATAAATATCTTGCCTTAACTTCCTTACTTTAGTTGGAAAAGAGCCCGAATACACTAATTTCTTCGAATAAAATTTAGAAGGAATTTTTTCGGAAATAATTTTCCCTTTTTTAGTATCTACAAGAAAAGAATACGAACTATTGACTGAAAATCCTGAAGATTTTATCCTTTTATAGGAAGATTGTTGTAATAAATAGACTGGAGATTCCCCTAAAACTGCCGCCTGTAAATTAATTGAAACTTTTTTGGATTATTATGACTCTTCGACCTATAAAATAGGCTTTTTTTCCCTAAAAAAAGCATCAGATTCTATCTAAAATAACGATATAAATTCGCTCGAAACCAGTATTTTGATTATAGCCTAAATTTCATATAAAATGTAAGAAAGAGAAGACTTAATTTTACTTCTAGAAGATTTTTTAAAATAAAATCTCTATTTTTTCCAAAAAACAGATTCCTTAATTACCAAGTGTAGGTTCGTATGTTTTAATATCTCTTTATTATGATAAAATATTTTACAAAAAAGACGACCTTACAGCCTTTTATACATGCTTATATACAATTTTCGAATTCCTAAAAGGCGAAAAAAGCCTACAATTAGCCTCCATAGAAGCCCTAGATAGTATGTACTTCGATTAATAGCATTCCTAAAGGCTTATTTAGACAATAGATAGGGCTGTGGAGGTACTTACAGGCTTATTGGTGGTATTTAAAGATGTTAACAATAGATTTTTTGACCTCTTATACTCTATAAGTATTAAATTTGCTTCTCATATTAAGTTCAATTAGGCTCTAGTGGGTAAAATAGTAGGTTCTATATGTTAAAGAATGTGTATAGAATACGATAATGTTAAAAATATGAAAGATTAGAACTCTACTTTATGTATAAATAAAGTAAAAATTATTTAAAAATTAAATAAAAATTATTTTCTAATTAAAGGGTATGAGTATTATAAAAGGAATATGTGAAAATGATAATTATATGCCTAATTATTTAAATTTAATAGAATAATAACTACTTATACTATATAAATATATGGAAAATAACCCAAACGAAGACTTAGAGGAAGACTTAGTATAAATAATGTTATGTACAGTCCAAAAATCTTAAAAAATAACAAATTTATGTATATATTTATTACCTTTATTTCCTTCTTTTTTCAATAAAAAGGCTAATATTTTCCAAAACCTATTCTATCCATTAAACTCTATACTTGTTTTCGGCGAATAATATATATAATAAAACAGTTAGATATTAAAAAATATAATCGAAATGTGCTTAAAGACTTTATTTTTGGAAGAAAATGAAGACCAATTATAAAATGTGGACTAAGGGGTACTTTTACTTTAATAAATATTATAGATTTATAAATTAGAAAGTATAGATTTAGAGTTTATTTTTGAGAAAATTATATAGAAAATCAATATGGAAAATTTACATTTTTTAATAAAAATTAGGCTTTTTGGATGTCTTTTGATTGGTTTTGCGAAAAGTTTTTTTTTCATGTAGGAATTTTTGGGAAGGAAATTCGGGCTTTTAAATTTTAACGAGTTTATATTGTAAGTGTAATTAAGTAGTTTTTATGATAGGAAAATCTATATTATTTGCCTAACTGAAATTTTCGGATTGTATTTTTCATAATTTGCACCTTAATTAAAAAATGGCTTTTTAGATATTTTCAAGAAAATAGTCTTGTGGGTTAAAACTTAAGAAAGTGAAGAAATTAAACTACTTTAGGAAAAAAAAAATCGAATAAATGCCCATAAAAATTCAGAAAATGACAGTGATTATGAAGATTATGATGATGATTATTCAAGTGAAAATGAAAACAATTTCTTAGATGAAACTTAGTAAGATTTTGAAAGATTTAAAGAAAATCAATTAGGTGGAGTTGATAATGAATTAATTGATGATAGGACTTTATTAGATTTATTCTAATATAAGTTTAAATAAGTGGACGAGTTTAAATTTTTTAATAGTTAAGTGGAGAACCTTAAAAATCAAATGGGAGTAGCAGAATTTAATGCATTTATTAAATCATTTTAACCTTAAGTTTAATAAATTTTGTAACATCTTTTATGTATTTAAAGAGTTTAATGTGAGGTTGGATAGAAAAAAGAAGGAGATGAGAAATCTGAGTAAATTTAAATGCCGAGAAAGATTGTTAAAGTAAAAAGAAAAAAATAAGAATTATAATAATAAAAATTGTTAAAATAATAAAATTGATATATTTATTATTTATTTATTTATTTAAAATACTTATATATATATATATATATTTTTTTTTTTCAATTTTTTATTTACTTTAATATATTTATTATTAAAAAAAAAATTAAACTAATAAGAGTTGATATGAATTATAAAAAAATTAAATTAAATATATATTATTTTACTTAATTCAAAAGTAAAATTATATAAAAATATATAATATATTTATATATATTTATATATATTTATATTTATTTTATATATTTATATATTTATATTTTTTATTATATATATATCATTATTTTTTTTATTTTTATATATTTATTTTAAAATTTTATTTATTATATTCAATTTTATATAATTTTATTTTATTTTGTTATATATATTATAATTTTTAATATTTTTATTATAATTATTCTTTTCTTTATAAAATTTATATATTTTTTTTAGTTTTTATAAAAAATATTTTTACAAGAGTTATTTTGTATAATAAATATTTAAATTTATATAATATTTAATATTTAAATTTATTTAAAATTTAGATAGAAAATACATTTCTATTATCTTTTTAATTTTTTTTTTTTTTTTTAATTTAGACTTATAATTTTTCTTTTAACCATTTAGCATCTAATATCTATAGTTTATTTATAGATTGTTTAATATATAATTTTTTTTATAATCTAAAATTCTTTTGTTTTATTTATTATTATACTTAAGTCTTTTGTACTTTTTGTTTCATTTAGTTAACTATTAAATCTTAGTATTAATTTTTTTTTGAGTTTGAGTTAATTTTTCCATTAATTAGTAGCCAGCGTTTTTTAATTCTTTTAAAAGAAAAAAATGTAATAGTTAGTTACTAAAGTTTCACATTTCTTTTTAATTGGAATTAATATAGATAAACCTATTAAAAAATTAATGTATCTTTTAGTTATAATTTATTTATTTTACTTTTCTCACTATATTATACTTTTTCTTAAAGTACGAAACATATATTTCAACTACAACTAAACCCAATTTTGTCTTTAAATATATTTATTATATTTTTTAAATATTATAATCTAAAAAACTAATTAGTTTTGTAAATTTTTTTAATTATTCAATACTAATTTTAAATTCTCAAAGAAATTTGTTTTAGGGAAGAAATTAATAAATTTAGTATTTTTCAGAGTTAAAACATAAAGAATTAAGGGATTTATTTTTTTAAGATAAATTTTCGTTTTTTAGTTTTTATAAAAGGTAAAATATAATTTATATCTTTTTACATAATTTGCACTTAGCATGTATTAAAAATCAAGTAAAAAGCATAAAAAAATAAATTCGTAATTACCGTTAGAATAATTATGTTCTATTATAACTTTTCAAACATCATTTAAATTCTAATCTTCAATTTCTTTAAAATATCACAATATCTAGTATTATTGAAAGAAATTTTTATTATGAATTTTCTTTTCTTCTTTATATTTTTAGTGCTTAGAAAAAAATTTTACTTTAAAATATAACCTTAGAGTTATATAAAAACATTTTTTAATAATTTATAAGCTATTTACTTTTTTTTATGAAATGATGTTTACTTTTTTTTTAGAAATTTATTACTAAAATAAACTTTACATAAATAGAGCATATTTAATTTTTTTAATAGAAAATATATCGGAATAATAAATAAAAAAATAGGTTTAAAAAAATTATAAGACAAATGAATATTTCTTATAATTAATATATGTATATATAAATATATGATATAGTAATAGCTTAAATAATGATTATTATAATATATTTATAAATAAAAAAAAAAATATTTTTTAAAAAAAATATATATTATTTAAAAAAAAAAAAAAAATATAAATTAAATTAATAAATGAAAAAAATAAATAACATATATATATATAAATATGTATATATATATATAAATATAAATAAATATATATATATATATTTATATTTATATATATATATTTATTTTATTCATTCTATTTATTTTTAAACAAATATTTTAATTTCCTTTTATATTATATATATTTATTTATATTTTTTTTTTTTTATATAAATTTTAATAAAAATATAATTTATGCAGAATAAAAAAATACCTTTTTTTAAAGATATAGCATAAAAACTTAATTTCTTTTGAAATTTTTCTTGATTGTTTCATTTTTTTCATTTATTTTATTGATAATATAATTAGTAAAAAATAAAATTTTTAAAAATATACTTTTTTTATAAAATAAAAAAACTAAAAAAACAAAGTCAATATAAAATAATATTGTTGTAAATTCAAAATAATCATCATAATAATACTTAAATGAATTAATTTTAAAAGATATATAAAATAACGTATAATAATAAGCAAATTCGTATTCAAGTTTTTTATTTAATTATTCGTAATTAGTGTCTTAAACACACACATTTTTCGATTTATTAACAAATGGTAATATATTATTTTATTGTTTTAAAAATAAATAAAAAGAAAATAGAAGTAATAAAATAATATTTCCAACAAGAGAATTAAATTCTCCAGACTAATATATATAGTTAGACAATTCAGACTCTTTTTTTGAAATATAAGATTTTAGTACAGTAGGATTTTATACATTTCCTTCTTTAAAAAAAAATTTGGGAATATCAAATTAAGACTTTGTTAATGTTTGTTTAAAAATGAAAGACTTTTAATTGATTTTACCAAATTTAATAAATGAAAAATAAAAAGATAAAATTAAAAGAATAACAATAACTTATTAAAATGGTATTTTTTTTGCAATATAATATTATCCAGGATAAAATATGATAAATTAATTTGATCCTCAAGAAGATATATAATAAAAAAATTGTATTTTATATATATATATTTAATATTCATATATTTATGTATATATTTCTTAATAAAAATCTAGATTATTTTTTCTAATAAGCTAAATAGCTTTAAAATAATAATATTTTTATTTATGGACCATATTTAGATGTTAAAGATGAATCTAATAATTTATTATTATCTATATCGAAATTTAAATAGATATCTGATAATTCGTTAGTGAGTTTTTTTTTTTATATAAATATGAATATTTGTTTTTTTTATATATATATAACTTTATTTAAATAATAATAACTCTCTATATAAAAAAGTAAGTTAAATTGAAATTCATATAGATGCTTTAAAAGATGTTTTTGTAATAGATTCTTTTAATGAATATGTTATTATAAATAAAGAAGGTAAGTTTCTATTTGCTCCTGAATATTGGAATATAGAAAACAATTTTACAAAAATATATTAATTGGAAGATATAAGTGGATTTAATATATATAGTTTTGGTTAGTTTTTAAATGATTAATAATTAATTAGTGTGAAAAAATATAATAATGAATAATAAATTGTTGAGTATTATGTTTATCCTTACTTTTTATAAAATAATTTCGATCCATCTAATATAAAGACATATATAAATTAAAATGTATATTTATATATTGATAATAAATCATAAATATATGATTTAATTTTTATAAAAAAGTAATAGAGTTAAGATTATAGTTACCTGATAATTTTTTATGGTGAAAAAGAAAAACTTTAATAATTTTAATATGAATTTCATTTGAGATTATAAAAATGTTAAAATGTACTAATAGTAATATGTATATTTACTATTATTCTTTTCGCAGAAGCAATAATAATTTAAGTTTATAAATATTCGTAAACTTATTCCCATCCAATAAAAGGTATATAATAATAAAATATATATATATATATATATATATATATTAATTTCTTACTATATTTTTTATATATTTTAATTATTTATTTTAGAATTAATTGAAATTTCAAAATAAATTAATTATAATACATTAAATGATAAAAAAATAATTGAAAAAATACAAACTTAATATGAATAAGTATTACACAAGTATAAAGATCAGTCTCCTCTTGTTTTTCTAATTAAATCATTTTTGAGAATTACTTAAAATATTTGTAGTAAAAACATTAATGAAAATTAAAGAAGCAAATAAAGACATATTGATTATCCTTTAAATTAGGAATTTTTTTAAAAAGATAAAGAAGATTCATTTTTGAATTGGAAAAATTTAATGAACTAAATAGAAGATGAACCGAAATTTACCTAAAAAAAAAATTGATTTTATTTTTTATATTAAAAAAAATATATTTTTCTTAAAAAAAATAAAATAAATATTAATAGATATGTTTGCTATATATATATAACATTTTTTTTTTAAAAATAAAATATAAATTAAAAATAATGAAATTTCTTTAATCAGATAAAAATATTTAATTTAATTAAGAAAACTATAACCCAGGACCTGGTTTTTATTTAGGAAATGACATAAAATATTCTCAAATATTAAAATATGCAAATAACTATTATGGAGGTTCAGAATAAGCTTAAACCTTTACTTAAGACATAAGATTTAAAAAATATTCCTATGAATAACATAAAAATCCTGGTCCTGGAAAATACACACTCTCTACATGTTTTGATTATAACAAAAAGTTTTAAAAAGAGTAAAATATTGTAAAACAAAAACAAATAATTTAACCTTTATTTAAAGTAAATGCAGTTCCTTCAATTCCAAGTAATCATTTCTAACCCGGATATTAAGAATTAGGTAACGGAATGTTAATTTAAATAAAAAATATTAATAAAACGGAAAGCTAATCAACTGTAGGACCTGGTACATATGACACAAACTATGAAATGACAAAAAAAAAAACAAATACAGCATTTATAAAGGAAAAATTTAATAAAGAAAATCACACAAAAAAATAATTTGAACCTAATAATCCTGAAAAAGCACTACAAAATGTCAGTTTAAAGCATTTATATGTATAATAAAAATTCAGTCCATTAAAGAAAGAGGAAAAATACGATCTTGTATATAGAAAAATAGAAGATTATTAAAAACCTGTTGTAACAAGCAGAAAAGCTTATAATGTAGAATTAGACATTAATATATAAAAAATAAAAAAGGAAAAAAATGAAAAAGATGTTGTTCCACCTCCTGGATATTATTATGATGAGAAAAAATTATCGACTTTTAAATATAGGATGATTCCGGAAAAACTATAGTGTTTTGATATAAATGAAAAAAGATTTTTTGACTTTCATAAACCAACAACTAAAGAAATAGGGCCTGGGTAGTATAATTTAGAAAATAAAAATTACAATTAGACAGGTTTTACATTTTGTAAAGTATAAAAAACATTTTTCGGGGAAGGAAAAATATAAAATAAAAACAATTAATGCGATAATGATTTTATAAGTGAAGAAAAAGATAGAAGAAAATTTAATTAATATTAATAATAATAAAAAAGTATGTATCCGGCAGTTTTTGGGAGTGGGTCTAGGAGGTTTATGAATAAAAATATATATGAAGATTAAAGTTAAGTAGATTTTTATTAAAAAATTATACATCATTTAAAATTAAAAAATAAAAAATGAAAAAATAAATAGGTAAAAATATATATAAATATATATATATATATATATATATATATATATATATATATATATATAAATACATATTTTTATTTTCAAAAATTTATTTTATACTTATTTTTTTTTTTTTTTTTAACATTATAGTGTATATAACTTAATAAATTGAAGAATAATAAAATCATTAAGAACTATGTATAATTAATAACAAGAAAAAAAAAAAAAAAACTACTATTCATTAATAATAACATTCTGTAGAAAAAAAAAGAAAAAAAAAAAGTTTTTCTCCTTTTGGATCGTAAGTAGGAAGGTTTAAGGAAACTCCTCATCAAGATATTGGTCCTGGAAGCTATAATCATATATTTTAGCTAAAAAAGCCTTACAATCATTCAATTAATGTTTTAGATAAAGTACCTAGAAATTTTACACTATTAACATCTAAATCTGTTCCTAAATGTATTGGACCTGGTAAATATGATTATGATATAAATCTTTTTAAGAAAAAATAAACATAATATATACGCTTCTGATTTTATTTTTTTAAATAATTAGAATTAATTATATATATTTTTATATAATTTATTAAAATATATATTTAATAAATTATATTTAAATAATTTTATATATATTTTATTGTTTTTTTTTTTTTTTTCTTTATCATATAAAAAAAATGAATTATATATTTATATAAATATAATTATACTTAAAATTATAATTAAAATATATAATTTACTTTAATATAAATTAAATAAAATTTAAAAATATTTATTTATACTCTATTTTTAATTGAATAAAACATAGAAAATTATAATTATGATATTTATTAAACTGAATACTTGATATATATAGATTTTCTTTATTATTTTTGTTTAAATAAATTATAAAAATATATTAAAGATGATAACGAAATAAAATAAAATATGTTTTAATTAATAATACTAAAAAAAAAAAAAAAAAAAAAAAAAATTATATTTAAATAAAAAAAAATGAAATAAATACCTCCTTATATATATTATTACAAAGACCAAATAGGAAAAGGTTCATATGGTAGTGTATATAAAGGGCAAAATTAATATACAAAACAAACTGTGGCCATAAAAGTAGTAAGCAAGAGTATACTAAGATCAAACGAATAATAATTATAAAAAGCATTAGAAAATGAGATAAAACTTTAATAAACGATACAATGTGAAAATGTTGTTCGAATGGTAGATGTAAAAATAGGACATCATAATTATTATTTAATAATGGATTATTGCAACGGAGGAGAATTATCAGAAATAATATAAAAGAAAAAAAACTTAAAGGAAAATGAAGCAATAGAGATTCTTTTTTAAATTTTAAATGGCGTTTATTCTTTATATAATAAAAATATAGTACATAGAGATTTAAAACCAGGAAACATCTTACTAAATATTGAAAAAAATAAAGAGGTAAAATATAAAATTTGTGATTTTGGATTCGCGAGAAGTCTGGAAAATACAGACACTGTATGCGTATAGTCAAAAGTAGGAACTGTGCTTTATATGGATCCAAACGTTTTAGGGAATTATAAATATAATTATAAATGTGATATATGGTCAGTTGGAATTATTTTTTATGAAATGATTTTTGGTAAAACTCCTTGGAATGCAAGAAATGAAAGGGATTTATTAAAATTAATTGAAAATAAAGAACTTTTTTTTGAAAATAATGTGCCTTTATCGAATAACGGAAAGGATTTGTTAAGAAAAATGCTTACAATTAATTTAGTTGAAAGAATTGGATTTAATTAAATATTTTAACATGCGGTTTTTTAGGGGATTTATTATATAAATGAAGAAATTGATGAGGAAAATATTGTAGAAATTTTAATTTATTTAATAAAAATGTCAAAAAGGATTTTTCGAAATTTTAGAGTATATTTTTTGATGGAAATTATGATTTAAGTATTTTCACAAAAATTTTGTAAAATTATTTTTAATATTCAGATAAAAAATGTGAACTTATATTTGAAGGAATCATTAAAGTTTTATAAGAATTACAAACAGAATAAAATGTTTAAGAATAAATTTTAAAAAAATATATAAAATACGAAAACATTATTTATCTTTTCTTAAAATTAGATGATAATTATTACAATTTCCATTTACAATAAAAATTAAAAGAAATTCAAGTTTTAGAAAAATAAAAAAATGGAATTAATTATTAATAAAATATAAATAAAAAAAAATTAATTAATGACAACAAATATAAAAAAAATTATTATTTAGAAGATGATCAAGAAATGGAATTTTAAAATTAAAAACATTAAGAAAAAATAATTTAAAATAATAAAATATAAACAAATTAATAATAATATCAATAATAATAATAATAATAATAATAATAATTAATATAATTATAAAAAAATAATAATATAAATTCAAATTAATAAAAACAAAAATAAGAATGTGAATAATTATAAATTTAAAATTAGATTTTAATAGAAGAACCATTTTAAAAAGTTTATACTTTTCCGAATTATAGTATAGAAAATAAAATTTATTTTAAAACAGAATATTCAGACAATATTAATAAATATAATGATTTATATGATATTTCTAATATTTAAAAAGAAATATCTAATATCTATTCAAAAACGCCTTAAAATATAAACTATTATAAAAACTTTGATTAAGAAAATATTTAAAATAATACTTTTAATAATTATTTATAAATATAAAAAAAATATAATTAATATAATAATTATTAATAAAATAATAATAATTTTTTATCTAATTACAATCGATTATTTAAAAATAATATAAAAATAAACTAAAATAACAAAGATATTAATTAATTAAATAATATTAATTATTAATAAAACAATTTTAATAATTATTAGTAAAATATAAATTATGTTATAAAAAATAATTAAAAAGAATAAGATTTATTTTCTCAAGAAGAAATTTCTTAGTAATTATAAAATTGCTTAATGAATATTATTTAAAATAGTGAAAAAAATAAAATAAACATATAATAAAGATAATAGATTAATGAATTATAAAATCATTAAATATATAATTAAAATTTTTAAGAACAAGACAATGCAATAAATAAAAACTATTAAAAAATCAGTAGTAATTATTATAATAATAATGATAATTATAATATAAATAATATTATTAATAATAATAATAATAAAAATAAAGAAAATAATAATAATATAAATAATAATAATTTTAATTTATAATTATAAAATACATAAAATTTAGATAATCATATAAATTTTCTAGATAATGATCAAAAAATTATGTAATTTGAAACAAATTAATTATTAAATAATTAAATAAGCTTAGAAATTTAAAAGTAAATTTCAAATTAAAGTGAATAAATGCAATTTAATTTAGTTAATTAAGAAATTTAAAATAAAATTTTAAATTAAAATAATATATTTTCGAACAATTTATTAAATAAAGATATTTAGAAATAGATATTAAAATAAAATAATAAATTAATATTAAATTAAATTAATTCTGAAGCTTATAATCAAACATAAAATTAATTTACTTAACTTCTTACTGATTAGTTAAATAATGATATAGAAAACAATATTTAAATAATTAATACAAATTCCTAAAATAATTAAAGCAATAATAGTATAAATAATTTAAACAATAAAATTAACTAAGAAGTTTTATTATAATTATAAGATTAAACTAATTAAATTCATGCTAATAATTTGGTCAATTAAGATATTTAAAAATAATTATAATTTAATTATTATAATGGTACTCAAAATATTCCACTTAATGCGACAAAATAAAGTTAATAAATTATTTAAACTGTTTAATTATAAAATTAATAAAATAATTAAGATTAAATTATATAAGAATAAAACTAAAATACTAAAATATAATAGTTAAATATAAGTAATGAGGAATATTAAAAATATATATAAACCTTAATTAATTAAGATGCAATTAGAATAATGTAGAATTATAATATTTAATTAAGCAATAAGGACTTATTAAATAAAGATAAATTATAAAATAATAATGATTTAATTAATAATATATATTTAAACAAAACTGAAAATAATACTAATATATAAAATAATACAATTTTAAATTTAAATAAAATTATATATAATTTTCCTCAATAAAATAACATCTTAAACAAAACAATTTTATAAAATTAGCCTAAAGAAAACTATAATAGTAGTCGAAATTCTTTTAATTAGCTCGAAATGAATTCTAATAATATTATATAAAATGAAAACCATATAATTTAAGATATTATTAAACATAACTCAGATTAAAAAAAAATGAAAATTAATAAAAAGATTAATATTTACCTATTTACAATCCTTAGAATATTGAAGAATAGGAAATTTTAAAATAATAGTAATAAAATAACACAGATTATATAAATATAAATAATTATAATTTTAATAATAATAATTAGTATGATATTCATAGTATTTTATAAAATAATATTAATGATAAAGTAAAATTAACTGATTAAAATATAATAATAGATAATAAATAAATTTATAATTTTAAAATAAATAATAATTCTTATTAAGAAATTCTAAATTAAAAAGAAAATTAAATTTAGATAGAAGATAATACTATTGATGATAATTATTAAAATTAATAGTAAAAACATTTGTTAGTTA